AAAATGTGATATATACATACATATATATGTGTATGTGTGTGTGCTTCACCCAATGGAATAGTGTTCAGCCATAAAAAAGGAAATTCTGCCAGTTGTGACAACATGGATGAACCTGGAGAACATCATGCCAAGTAAAACAAACTAAACACAGAAAGCAAACACTGTATGATTTCACTTCTATGTGGAATCTTAAAAAGTCAAACTCAAAGCCAGAGAGTATAGCAGTAGTTACCCAGGGTAGTGGTAGGGAAAATCAGGAAAGGTTGGTCAAAGGGTACAAACTTTCAGCTATAAGATGTATAAGTTCTAGGCATCTAATGCACAGCATGGTGACTATAGTCAATAATACTCTTTTGTATACTTGAAATGTGCTAACAGAGTAAATCTTAAGTGTTCTTGCCACACCCCCCCCCAAAAAAAGTAACTAATGAAGTAACGGATGTGTTTACTGGTTTGACTGTGGTAATCATGTCACGGTTGGCTTTTATTTTTTGCAGAAATTTACAAGTTGATCCTATAGTTTATATGAAAATGCAATGGACACAAAATAGGCAAAACATTCTTGGAAAATAAAGAACAAGGGCAGATTCACACTTCTCAATTTAAAACTCACTAAAAAGTTACAGTAATCAACACAGTGTGGTGCTGACAAAAGACACACATATTGGTCAATGGAATAAAGTTGATAGTCCATAAATAAACCCTTACATTATGGTGAATTCACTTTTTACAAAGATGCCAAGGCAATTCAGTGGAGAAAGACTCTTCTTTTCAACAGTCCAGGACAACTGTATATTCATATGCCAAAGAATGAATTTCGATCCCTATATTATACCATACATAAAAATTAGCAAATGGACCATAGGTCTAAATGAAGACTCAAGTGATAAAATTCTTAGAAGAAAACATAGGAGTAAATTTTTGTGACTTTAGCATAGGCAACAGTCTCTTGGATATGGCACTAAAATCACAAGCAACAAAAGAAAATATATATAACTTGGGCTTACTTAAAATTAAAAACTTTTGTGCTTCAAATATAACCATTTAAAAAACTGAAAAGAAAGCAACAAAGTATCTATAAAAGAGTTGATAAGGGGCTTCTATCAACAATGTATGAACACATACAACTCAATAATGAAAAGATAAACAAGCTAAACATTTTAATGAGTCAAAGATCTAAATATACATTTCTCAAAAGAATATATACTAGTGACCAATAACATGAGGTAAGATGCTCATCATCATTAGCAATTGCTGCTGCTGCTGCTAAGTCACTTCCAACTCTGTCGTATCCAACTCTGTGCAACGCCATAGATGGCAGCCCACCAGGCTCCACTGGCCCTGGGATTCTCCAGGCAAGAACACTAGGGAAGTGTAAATCAAAACCACAGTGAGATACCCCTTCACAAAGAATATAATGTGTTGATGAGGATATGGAGAGAACAGAACTTTGTATATTGCTGATGAAAACACAGAATGGTACAACCACTTTGGAAAACAATCAGGCATTTCCTCAAAATGATAAACACATCAAGTTATTTGTACCCCCTGGATCAAGGGGAATGATCCAGCAATTCTCTTCATAGTTATTTCCTGAAGAGAAATGAAAACATAAGTATACACAAACATTTGAATGTTCATATCACCATTATTTATAATAGCCCTAACTCAAATTTACATCATCTGATGAACAGATAAACACAATGTGGTATATCCATAAAATGGAATATTATTCAGCAACAAAAAGGAGTAAAGTACTGATACATGATGCAACATGGATCAACCTGGAAAAAAATACTAAGTGAAAGAAGTCAGTCACAAAAGGTCATATATTGTATGATTCCACTCATATGAAATGTCCAGGACAGGCAAATCTGTAAAGATAGAAAATAGATTTATTTGCCCTGACTGAAAAAAGGAGGAGAGAAGGAAAAGGCAACCCACTCTGGTATTCTTGTCTGGAGAATCCCATGGACAGAGAAGCCTGACAGACTACAGTCCACAGGATCACAAGAGTCAGACACGACTCAGCGACTAAACCACCACCACCAATGGGAAGTGACTGCTAATGCAGATGATGAAAATATTCTGAAATTGACTGTGGTGAAAGTCTCAGAACTCTCTGAACATTACATTACTAAACACTATTGACATGTATCCTTTAAATGAGTGAAATGCATGGCATGTTAATTACATCTCAATAAAGCTGTAAAAAAAAAGAAGAAGAAAGGAAGGGAGGGACAAAAGGAAAAAAGTAAACCACCTTGGACTTTAAGTAAGGCAATAGATGACTCCACCTAGGCTACAGAGAATTGGGGGATGGGGTGGGGGGATGGCAGTTAGACTAGAGATAAAGATAGTAGATAGGACGCAGTCACTACAATCCATACAGAAGATGTTGAAAGACTGAGCCAGGGCAGAGCAGCAAGGACAAGATGGAGATATTTTGGGAGATACTATCCCAAGATGGCCAAGTTTCTGTTGAAACAGACATTTCATTTCATTTTCTGCATGAGAGTAAAGGTCATGAGTGTAAATGAACTCAGTGTTGGGGAAGTAGCTTAATAACATGTTACAAAGGTTTCAAAATGTTCATACACTTTGGTCCCTATATTAAGAAAAACTTTTTTTAATGTATTAAGCACAAAATATGTACTACAGCATTATTTATGAAGGAAAGCAATCTAAATGCCCAAAAGTAATGGATTAACTATGAGAATGATGGTATATCCATATAATTATAATTAAATATTACAGTTGAGAAAATATTTAAAACATGAAATTTCATAACAAAATATCTTATAATAGTAAGGAGAACAGAAATATGACAGGAGATTACACATACAATGTGCTCTTAATATAAAAATATATAAGGCAATTAGTGTTTACTAATTGCTTTTTCTGCATATGTTATGAGTTTTATTTGTGTATCAAACTTCTACTTCCTACAAAGATAGTTCATTACTTTCATCAAAAAACATACTGTATTTCCTTTTTCTAAAAAAAATAATGGCCATTTTATTCTTAGATTTGAAGAACATTTCCATAGCCATCCTGCATACCTTCTCCAGAGTTCCCTGGAGCACATATTTTGGCTGGCAGGGGCTGGATCCCACTTTTGTGCTATCATCATCCACCCTATCTCAACTGTGGCCAGTCTTTCATGTCCTACAAGTTGATTCCCAGAGAATCCCTCTGGTATTTGTCCTCTGATAAATAAAGCCAGTCCCACTGAAATCTGCCCTCATTCCCACCTGTAGAAATGGCAGGTACTCACTCTCTCTCTCTCTGCCCAGAGCGGTGGTCCTACCAGGCAGAGGAGGAAGCAGAATTTGCCACCAGGTAGTCTCAGCTCCCAGAAATGAGAGGTCTGCTTTTAGCCTGCCTCTGCCTGTCCCCAAAAGTGAGTGTGCAAAACAGGCAATTTTATGGACCCACTACCTCAGGTGGAATGAATTTATTTTTAAATTTAGTTCAACTCATTACTGAATGCATACCACACTCAGTTTTGCAGTTGGGCATGGGCGGGGTGTAGGGGAATACAGAAGACTTCTGAGATCAGGACACAGAAGTTAGAAAGCTGACCACCGGCGGGAAGTTTCCCTCTAGCACTGATGCTGCTGCTGCCGCTAAGTCGCTTCAGTCTTGACGGACTCTCTGCGACCCCATAGATGGCAGCCCACCAGGCTCCCCCATCTCTGGGATTCTCTAGGCAAGAACACTGGAGTGGGTCGCCATTTCCTTCTCTAATGCATGAAAGTGAAAAGTGAAAGTGAAGTCGTTCAGTCGTGTCCGACCCCTAGCGACCCCATGGACTGCAGCCTACCAGGCTCCTCCGTCCATGGGATTTTCCAGGCAAGAGTGCTGGAGTGGGGTGCCATTGCCTTCTCCTCCCTCTTGCACACAAAGCCTTTTACTACCATCCCTTCCAGGCCTCTGCCCATCATCAGTTACAAAGCCGATTAAAATATAATTAAAATAGATAAATGAATAAATAAAATTCTGCCAGGCAGCGGGTTTTCCAAAACCAGCTCTAACTCCTGGAACATCCTTGCTATGGAGTCCACATCATCTTCCCTAGACTTCCGGCCATGCTTCCACTCCCAAACCATCTCCAAACAAGTCCTATTGCGCGCCCAGCCTCCCTGCCCCCAAGTTTCTGCAACCCTTCCGAGCGCTAGCCCCCTCCATACACCCTCCTGGGTGTCCGGATTCCAGTTTTCCTGTCCTGGCCTCCCCTCCCTCTCTGGCTGCCCTGACTCCCACTACACACCGACCATCTCTAGGCCTGAGCGTGGCTGGCACCTGACTCCCTTCTGGGCCCCCCTACACCCGGCCTATTGTGACCTTCCACCAAGGCCGTGGAGGAAGCCAATGCCCACGGAAGTGTCAAGGTACCTACTCAGCTGTCACCCCTGAAAAGCTTAGCTGACGGCCCACGTGGGCTCCTCTTCCCGCGCTAGACTCCCAGAGCACCCCTGCTCTCAAGAATCACGGAACTGCCTCGGTCGCGCGGCTTCCCACTCCCCCGGGGACTCAGTGAGAGCAGGGGCTGTGTCTGGTTTTCTAGCGGTCCCTGGAGCCCAGCCGTAATGCCTCACAGGAACTCGGGACTGAGGGAGGCCGAGGCAGGACGGAAGGGTGAAGAGTGGAAACAGCGAAGGAGAAACTGAGTGAGTGAACTGAGGGACAGAGAGAGGGAGGAGGGGAAGCAGCTGGGCGGCCCCGGTTCCCTGACTGCTAAAACAGACTCCAAGTCGAGGATGTGAGGTGCAGGCCGGGGTGACGCTCAAGGCTCTCTAGGCGAGTCTGGCGGGGCAGGCGCCGCGGGAGGGCGGGCCCGGGGGCGGGGCGGGGGCGGAGAGGGGGGCGCGGGGCGGCGGGGACCCGGGGCGCAGGGAGGGAGGAAGCTGCGGCGCCCGGCGGGAGAGGTGCCGAGGCACGCCGAGGCTCCCCGTGCTGGCTGCGCCCGCGCCCCGCGGCCCCCGCTGCGCGTTGCCATGCCCTCCTACACCGTCACCGTGGCCACCGGCAGCCAGTGGTTCGCGGGCACCGACGACTACATCTACCTGAGCCTCGTGGGCTCCTCGGGCTGCAGCGAGAAGCACCTGTTGGACAAGCCCTTCTACAACGACTTCGAGCGCGGCGCGGTGAGCGCGCGCGGCCGGGACGGGCTGGACGGCCGCGGGACGGGGTGCGGGCGCATCCAGGACCCATCGGGGTGGCGGGGACCCGAGCTTGGGGGCGAGGGGCTCTAAGAGAATCCTTAACTGGGCAAGTGCTGTGACCATTACTTGCGCCCACTTCGTGGGACTCCATAGATGGCACCTCAGCAGTGGGGAGAAGGGGTAGGGTTGGGGATCCGGAGACCTGAGTTCCACCGGGGCCTGATCCCTAGCTCGCTCCGCCCCCTTCCCGGGCCTCAGTTTCCCCAGACATAAAGTGCAAGGGTGGGCTTCCGGCTGGTCTAGGACTCCCGGCCGGTGGCTCAGTGTGGCACTAGCTAATGTCTCCACACCTGGGCAGCTCACATTCCCAGGCCAGGTTTCCAGAGGGAGGCAGAGCGAAGGAACAAGAGACCGAGGCCTGGAGAAGCCTTTTGCAAACCTGGAGGTCTTCACTGGCTCCCAGTAAAGTGTACACCAGGGAACACTTCCCCCCGGGGTGTGAGTGTTCAGAAGAGGAAGAGGGAGGAAGCCTTCCCCTTTGCCCGCCTCACCGGAGACCCTGACGCCTTGGGAGTACAGGCAGCAAAGGGACCCCGTGTTGACTGCACCTCTAGTCTGTGGTAACACGCGCTGCAGTGAGGTTTCGTTCAGAAGTGGATTCGCAGTGCTGACCTGGGAGTGAATTCTAACCTATAGCGTTCTCTGTGAGCACAGAGGTGCTCACAACTGGCCCTTACCAGGTGTCTGGTGTCCAGTCCACTGGGTTTATTAAATGATCATTACTTAAGTGCTCGTTAAATGTGCTAATAGTCCCAACACACTACAGGTACCCAGAAAATATCTGTTCCTTTCTGCCACTCCCAACTTCTGAACTGGACCGTAAAGATTTAGATTTCATAAAGCTGTCTTTTTACCTCTTCATTATTTTGTTGAACCAAAAGGAATTACTCATAGTTGACTATTTTTGACAAATAAAACTGGCAATTTCATATGGTTCAACCAAACACTTCTTGGGCAATATTTACAAAGCATGTTTTAGGTTTGCAGAGCCTAAAGTCAGCCAGTACCAGTCCACTCCTTTTCCAGACTGGAAACTCAGAATGGGCTTGATTCCTACCCAGGAGCCTCAGAACCTCGATGTATAAGCCCAACTGACAATTAGCCAAGTTCAGCATACTTATGCGGCTAGAGAGTACCCTTACGGAAGAGTTAGGCATTGAGTGTAAGAACTACCTCCTGTTGTTTGGTTTCCCCAACCAGGGACCTGGCCGAGAGGATGGTGGTGCAGGAGGGCTAATGAATCATCCATTCAGGGTGATGACACCCTCAGCTATTTCTGAAGTGCCATCATTTATTTCCATTATTTTGTGGATTCCGCCAACACGTATGCGAGGAGGACAGGGTACAGACTGCTTGATCTTTATAATCTGTCTTCAGGGGGTCCATTCTCCTTCATACACTATGCATATCACATATCGGTGTGCTCATGCTGTTGGGTGTGGCTTCTCAGAGGGGATATAAGGATGTGACCATAACAAGGTCGTTGGAAGAGAGATGAAAGCATCCCTCTGTTCATTATTTCCCCACCCTGACAATCCATTCAAATGACATTGTGATTAAACACCTCGGTGAGAGTCCCAGAAGCAAATTTCAGGAGAGTTTGCATATCACATTTCCATTGGGAGAAGGGGCACTTTGGGAAGGGCACTGCAGGGGACTTGCTGTCTCCAAAAGGCTCTTTGAAAAAAATCAGCTTTTGAGAAAGTTCCCGTTGATGCAAAGTTACTCCACACTTGGTCTTGCACAGCCCAGAGCTACTTCCTCATTCTCCAGCCAATATCTCTTTAAGGACAATCTGTCCCTTTGTGGTAAAGGTGTGAGAGAAACCTTAGAGGAAATACTTGCGGAGAAGATAATGCTATCCCATTTAACCTAAAAAGTGTTACAGTCATTATAGATAATAACAGTAATGGTAACAACAATAAAGACTTTTTCCAGGCAACCAATTCAGACATTTCCAGGTCATTGTCAGGTCAACACCCCACCCCGCTCACTCAAAATTCAGTCCCTGTAATGAACAGGACTGCTTTTTTTCCCTTGCAATAAATTGAGTCACAAATCACTGGTTATTCTCATCAGAGTTCTGCAGAGTCATTCAGGACTGGAGTGGGAATCAGAGTCCTTCACAGGTGAGATTCTCCTGTCAAGGCAAATTTAGCAAATTGGTGTTTCTTCGACTCTGTCCATTTAAAGTAATTCAAGTCCAGGTGGGATGACTTTCACAGATCTGAAGACTTCTGGGAAATCTTAACCTGAGACTTTTTCATTCCCTGGCAGCAAAGCAAAGGTGATGTTTAGTATATCTCCTTGAATGTGGTCAGTAAGTGTGAACGTCTTACAGCTTTACTTCTTAAATATTTTCAGGGAATATTCTTACAATATGTTCATGAAGAATATATTCTAGAATACTGCCTTCCCAGAAAGACTATATTACTGAAGAATAAGAGCTTCCCTGGTGGCTCAGATGGTAAAGAATCTGCCTGGAATGCAGGAGACTCGGGTTCAGTCCCCAGGGTGGGGAAGATCCCCTGGAGAAGGAAATGGCAACCCCTCCAGTATTCTTGCCTGGGAAATCTGAAGAAAAAGTATTTCCTTCTGATCCTCAGTCTATCCTTCACCTTCCCTCTCTGCGCCATCTATTCCCTACGTTCTGCCTCTTCTTCCTGCTTCTCTTCCTTCTTCTGCTCCGTTTTCCTCACAGTTCCCCAATGCCCTGAATCTCTTGTCTTCTGCTCCAGTTTCTCCCTTCTGCTGTCTCCTAGATTCCCGCAGCTCCCCAATTCTTTGCTTCTTTAATCCTGGACCCTGAGATCTTCCCGGAGGCCCCCTCTATCCTCTGTGACTCTCCAGCAGTAACTCGCTCAGAAACCAGTGCCCAGTCACCAGATTTTGTCCCTAGACAGCCCGAGTGAGGACTGAATTCCTCGGACCCTCGTTCACCTCCTGGGGCACTGCTCCAAAGCCAGGGCCAGCAGGAGACCAGCCAGACTCTCAGGCCTGTCCTTCCCGCTCCCCGTCAGATAGCATATTGAGTCCCTGTAAGTCTGTCCACTGATTCCATCCCAGGTGAAGTTCCAGGGCCTTCCACTAGGTACCTGTAGGGGCCACTGGGGCCGGGGGACCTGAAGGGTCCATTCTCCTGTGACTGCACATAGGCGTGCACAGGGTGACCATGCTCTCCCTTACCTCAAAGAAGCTACCCTGTCCCTTCTTTATCAGTCCCTACCCACAGCTGGATGTCTGGCCCTCCCTCTGAGAATCGCCCCGGGGCTCCATCCCCCTTCCCTGAGAATGTCCACCTCAGAGGCGCATGGCTCTTGTCACTTGAAGTGGCTGTTCTCTCCCCTTCACCTCAGCCTTCCTGCATCAGCCTCCAGACACCTGCAGCCCCCCACCCCCACCCCTGCGGAGCCACAGCAAAGCCACTTCCCCTGGAGCCGCCACCCGGGGCCTAGGATTCACCGCACTTCGCCACATGTTGACTTCCCACTGCTGGGTCTGCGCTGCCAGCAGCAAGATGCCTGCAGGTCTCACTCAGCCTCAGTGGGGTTCTCAGTGAGAAACAGTTTCTGGCGACAGAGTAGCCAGCCCGTGTGGTGGGTCCCTGACAGGTGAGCCAACTTACCTGTTCTACCAGACGCCCCACCCTTCAGGCAAAAGAACCCTCCTGTCCCACAGTGTTTCTCGTGAGAGAGCAGGGATCTCAGAAGAGTTCACAGAGAACGGTGACCCCCAGGCCCGTGGGGCCTTGGGCAGGGAGGGGGCTGTCTGTTCTACAGACTGCTGATCCCTGGGGAGAAGGTGGCAGGCCCCAGGTTGGGAGAGGAGTCCCAGTGAGGGGCTAGATGACCAGAGGAGCTGGGAGGAGGGAGAGCAAAGGCCCAGACCACAGGAAACTGGCAAGAGGCTTCCGCTTTCTGACCATAAGCGTCTAGCATCCGCAGCAGCAAAGACACGCAAATAGCTCCCTGTGCTCAGAGCCAGAGGGTTTGCTGAAAATATCCAACTTCCCACTCTTCTTAAGAAGTCCTCCCAGGGGCGTCCTGGCATTTGGAGGGCGAGGATGGAAATGGGGATGCACAGGGTCTTGTGCACGAGGAACACCCGTCCCCTCCACTTATCTCACTATTGCACTGAGAACTCTTTAAGTTCTGCCACCAAGGAAAAACTTCAGAGATGGGTGAATTCTGGCTTAGAAAGTGCCTCAGATGGCATTGAGTCTGGGGCTTCCTGAACCTGCTGGTCTTCAGAACACCCGATGCAGTGTTTGCGCCCCCATCCTTCTCTCCCAGCTACACATAACGGAGAAGAGAGCCTCCAGCAGCGCTGCCACCATGCCAGCTCATCTTCTGGGGTCAGGAGCCTGGCAGCAGCCTGGGGTGCAGTGCTCCACGTGGCCTGGGGCAGCAAGGCCAGCCTCAGCCCCCCGCTGTGCCTGCGACGTAGTGGGAACCACTCATCTGATTTTCTTGGCGTCACTGTGGCTCAGGAAACTGCATTGGCCCCCGGACAGCTTGAGTCTGTGTGGCTTCACTTTTACCTGAGCCTCCTCATTTTCACTCAGGTATTTGCCCCATTGGTAATGAGAGACATATGGAAAGGCTTGGATTGGAAGTCCAACTCTGCCAGTCAGCAGTGGAAGTGGGACTAAGTCTCACTGTCCGCATCTGAGACACAGGTCCTCACCCTCCCTCCTCCCAAAGTGCCTGTGGAATCAATAGCAGCTCAGCGAGCCCTTTGCCAGTTGCCCCTGTGTGCAAGGGCCAGTTTGCCTCATCCAGCCCTAGAGGGTAGCAGGGCCAGCAGCCTGCTGCCCTTGTGAGTGGGGTCAGCTGCAGAGGCCCTCACTGAGCCTGGCCTGGAGGAGGGCACGCCTGCCTAGAGCCTCCACCTTCTCCACCCTGGGCCTTGTGAAGACAGCAGAAGGTTTCCCTCCGAGCAGCACTGTCACTTATTCACTTCCATCTCCTTGGGGCAGAGTTGGGGGACTTGGCCATCTCTGTCACCCAGGGAGCAGCACAGAGCCACACCAAGGGCAGACATCGGCAGACATCTCTGCTAAATGAACTGAGGATGATACGAAGGCTCAGGGGCTCCCAGACTGTCTGATTCGCCTTTTCTCCTTCTCAGGTTGATTCTTACGACGTGACAGTGGATGAAGAACTGGGCGACATCCAACTGATCAAAATCGAGAAGCGCAAGTACTGGCTCCACGACGACTGGTACCTGAAGTACATCACAGTGAAGACGCCCTGTGGGGATTACATCGAGTTCCCCTGCTACCGCTGGATATCGGGCGAGGGCGAGATTGTCCTGAGAGATGGACGAGGTGAGCGGCTCAGGCCCCGTCCACCTCCCGGGTTTCCAGGGAATGAGAGGGTTTGCAGCCCCTCCATCCCCGAAGATCTGTATCCATGGGAATAATAACAGTGCTGCCCATGGCTGAGCACCTGCTCTGTGCCCTGATGCACCTGCAGGAAATGTGACTTCCTCTGGGTACTGATAAGTCCCAGGCTCAGAGGGTGGAGTGACAGGCTCCAAGCTCCATCCAGCCATGTCCCCTCTCTGCCATACAGTCCATCGGGGGGAAGATTATGAGCCCCCCACTTTTGTCAGAGGGTAACCAGGATCTCTAGTAGCACACACCCCTAGGACATGTCCCTGGATGGACAGTTCTCCAGTTTAGTTCTTGGCTCTCCTCTCTGGGAGGTCACGGTGGGACTTGGGCTCATAGGGATCCCACTCAGGCCAGGGAAAGGAAAGGGGTGACCAGGAGTGCCTATGCACCAGCTCGGAGGAATCATGGGCAGAGCTCATGTTCAGTGGTCACCAGCCATTAAACCTGAAATCTCACTTTTTTGCTGAAAGAGAGAACCTAAAATGTGCCCTCTTAAGCAAGACCCTCAAATGTGCAGACCCCAATCTGACACTTCCTCACGAGGCCATTCTTGGTAAGAGACACACGGCTGGCCTGCTTGGAGGTGGAGGAGAGAGAAGCAGATGGTGGGGTGATCTCAGGCCGCTTTCCCTCTGAACAATGCGCCTCCCCACTTGACTCACCAGCCTCTTAGCATGATTCATATCCGTGCCTGGTGCTCTTAAACTCTCAGACCACATCCCATTGTTTCTGATCTGGAATTTAACTTAAGAAAGAAAATTTCAGGTGCATTTCTGAACTACATGATTAGGTCAAAAAGGATGTTTACCCTCTGTCCTCATGGCAGGGAAAAGATCACAAAAGTCATTCTGTCTTTTGGTGGCCACCAAAGGTTGCAGACAGGGCACTTCTAGCAAGATTTTAAAATCACGAGCTCCACTTCCTGCTACCCACCTGCCACCCAAGGTCTCAGCTGTATAGTCCAGTCCTTCTTCCCACAGACCCCACATCTCTTTCCAGCAATAAAACATATGGCACATTCAAACTGGGATATTTAGAAGGCATAGGCCAGTGTGGAAGGCCATTAGCACTGCTAGTCCTAATGGCCTAGTGGGGTGGGGGAGGGGGAAAATGCCAGAATAATTCAGAAGGGGAGTGTTCTGGAGCCAGAGCTGCCTTGGGAGGATCTGTAGCCCTCAGCAGAGATGCAGACAGTCTGGGGAGACACTGCAGAGAGGCTAGGGAAGAAATGTCCTCTCTTCACTGTCCCATGCGCTCCACTCTCTGGCAAGGGTTCCCAGTGGCTCGACCCAGCGTGGAGCCCACTGATGGACTGATCAGGGACCCTGATGAAGGGTGGCTCTGGAGGGGCACCTGGAAGCCACCCAGCATGTCTCACTGACCCATTGCTGTGTAGCAATCTTTTAAATAGCCATTTTGTTTTGCTCATGATCTTAGGGGTCAGGAAGTTGGGAAGAGCTTAGCTGGGTGGTTCCTCTGTGAGCCATGGGCATCCACTGAGGGGGGAGGGCGAGAGGATCCACTTCTAGGATGGTTCTGTCACGTGGCTAGAGCTTCAGGACTCCGTGGTCTCTCCTCTCCACATGGCATCTCATTTTTAAGGCTTCCCGATAGAGCTTAGACGTCTCACAGTTTGGTGGCCTCAGGGGATTCATGCTTCTTAAGTGGTGGTGGACTTCCAAGAGCAGGTATTCCAAGAGTCAAAGTGGATGCTGCCAGTTTCCTGACGCCTGACTCTGGAAACTGGCCCAGTGTGACATCCCCCATATTCTATTGGCACAAGCAGGTTTCTGCGGGAAGCCTGAACACTGGATGTTGTTTCTGTCCTTCTCTAGGCTCATTTCACACATGTGCTTTCTTCACAGCGAAGTTGGCCTGTGATGACCAGATTCACATTCTCAAGCAGCATAGACGCAAAGAACTGGAAACACGACAAAAACAGTATCGGTGAGTTGTGACGTCAGACCAAATAGCCGTGGAGCCATGGTTTCTTCTATCTCAGAGGCATAACTCTGCCCACAGTTTGTGGCCCATCAGTGTTGGTACGTGATGACCGAAGTGCCAGATCCCTTTGATTCTCCTCAATACCCACGCTCCACCTTACCACCACTTCAAGCAGAGATGGTGAAAGAGTTATGAAAAATGTGGAATCAACCTTATTGACATTTAGAAGGAATGGGACAACAAAGGCTTGAACTCACCTTGGTATTCTCTCACTTCCTATTGTAGGGATTACCCCTTACTTTTTATATCTTCTTATCACACTTAAGTTTTAAACGTGATACATGATCCACAAGAAGATGGACAAATATTTAGCAAACAGATCAAGAAAAAAGAAAGGACTCAAATTATTAAAATTAGAAAGAAAAGAGGGAACATCAATACCAACCTCACAGAAATTAAAATGAATGAAAGGGAATAGTATGAATAACTGTATACCAACCTATTAGATAACTTAGATGAGGCACTTCCCTGGTGGTCCAGTGGTTAAGACTCTGCAGTTCCAATGCAGCAGGCACTGGAACATCCTCTCAATGGCATTGAATTATGAATACATGTTAAACTATAGATGAATCTCAAAAACATTATGCCAAATGTTATTTACAAAAGGCTGTATGTTATGTGAATCTATTTTTGCGAAATGTCCAGAATAGGCAAGTCTATGGACAGACATTAGTAGACTAGTCATCAGCTAGGGCTGAAAGTTGGGAATGGGACATGGGGAATGACTATTAGCTGGATACAAAATTTCTTTTTGGGGGGTGAAAATATTCCAAAATTAGATTATGGTGATGGGTGCACAACTCTGAAAATATACTAAAAACCTTATAATTGGATACTTTTAAGGGATGAATTTTATTGTATGTAAATTATATCTCAATATAGCTGTTTTTCATGTTTATTTTTATTTATTTATTTGGCTGTGCTGGTCTTTGTTGTGGCACACAGGATCTTTAGTTGCGGCATGCGAACTCTTAGTTGCAGCCTGTGGCATGTAGTTCCCCAACCAGGGATTGAACCCAGGGCCTCTGTATTGGGAATGCGGGCTGTTACCCACTGGACCACCATGGAAGTCCCTTAATACCACTGTTTTAAAAAAATAATACACACGAGCAAGAGTTCACATCTGGAAAGTATATGCAGCCTATAATTTAATGCGTCATTGTGGAATTCTGAGTGAATGGGGCTTTTATTATCTTTCCATTTTTGTGTGCATTTTTAAGTATTTCCTCAGGATAGATGCCCAGGAGTGAAATTACTAAATCAAATAGCAGAAATTATTAGTATATATTGACAAATTTCTTTTCAAAAATCTTTTAGCTAGTTTTCAGGATCAGTGTGTGGGCATCCATTTCACTTAATACTTGCCAAAGCTGAATAGTATCTTTTATTTTTTAACTTTCCTAATTTGTGAAAGCATCTCTTAGTTCCTTATTCTTCCCCAGCTTCTCAGAGACCCACTTCTGTCCAGTGGTTGAGAAATCCCCACTGAGACCACTGATTCCCCCAGTCTCAAAATTATGTTTAGCTCTATCCCCCTTTCCTTCAAAAATTTACATTTCCATAAAACAGAATGGAAAATGAGAGAGTCATACACATGTGGATATATTTGATATATTATAAATAGATTTTGATGTATTACAAAGGCAGTGATGATAAGTGGTGTGAGGTTATTAAGCATCATACAGAATGGAAAGAAAGAGGCAGAGAAAGAGGAAAAGGAGACTAAATCATGTTGTTCAGAAAACTTATTTTTGGATTGAGTATGCTTAAATATTAAAGGCAAAACTGTTAATGCTTTTAAACCATAAAAGATTCTTCTTCATGACCTCAGGAAAAAAGATTTTTCAAATAAGACTCAAAATGCCCTAACCTAAAGGAAAGAATAATCTCAGCTATTTCAAAGTGAGGAAGTCTTGTTCCCTACAAAACAGTACAAAGAGAATTATTATTCACTGTGTACCAAGGATCTCTACAAATCTACAAAAAGAGGATTGTCAGTTCAGTTAAAAAAAAAAAAAGGCACTTGCAGTCACTGCACAAAATGTGAACAGCAAGTATACAAAAAGGTGCTTAGCCTCATTTGTAATCAGAGAAATCAAAAGATCACAATGAATGATTGCTACTACTACTAGTATACTATACACACACAGGCAGAGTTGAAACAACTTGACAATACCCAAATGTCAAAGAGGGTATGAAGGGATGGGGAGGCTCATGCACTGCTAACAGGGCTAAAAATTGAAACAACCTCTGTACAACACAGTTTTGTAATATCTGATGGAAGTCAAGCTACATTTGATCTATGGCTCAGAAGTTCTGCTCCAGGATCCAAATCCAGGTGCATATACACCTGGATACATGTACAGAGATGGTCACAGTATTATTTATGAGAGCAAAAAAGTGGAAACCACCCAGTGTCCATCAAGAGATAAATAAAAAGAGATAAATAAATTATGATAACTCTACCCTGCAAGGAAGAACAATGAACTGCTGGTACCCATAGCAACAGGAACAAACCTCAAACACAGTGCTGAAGAACAGAAGCCAGCCACATGTCTGGTCAATTTATGAGGTTTGAAATTATGTTGTTTAGGGAAACTTGTATAACAGTAGAACAATAAATAGTAGCAGGAAGTGATTATTACAAAGTTGAGATGATTGGGGAGGTTGAGTGGGCATGTGGGGGGCTGAGGCTACTGGCAATGTTCTGATTCGTGATCTGAATGTTGCTTATACAGATGTTTTGTGCATTTTTCATATGTGAGTATTAAATTTTTTCTTTTTTCTTTTCCATATTTATATTTTCTTTTCCATAGTAAAGAAAATTTTAATGAAACTTCTATGATTTTAGTACCACATATAGGAGAATAAAGGGCTTCCCAGGTGGCACAGTTATAAAGAATACACCTGCCAATGCAGGAGACACAGGAGATGTGAGTTCGATCCCTAGTTCAGGAAGATCACCAAAACAGCAACCCACTCCAGTATTTTTACCTGGAAAATACCATGAACAGAGGAGCCTGATGGGCTACAGTCCATGGGGTCACAAAGAGTCGGACATGACTAAGCAACCGAACATGCGTGTGCACGTGCACACACACACATACACACACACACTCGGGAGAATAATCTGATAATGCAATGTGTGATGTTAAGCATCTATGAATTTGTGACTTGCTGTAGAATATTTGTGAGTAAGCCTCTCAGCTCAGGCACCATATGAGCTTTGAAAATTTTGTGTGTGATACAGTGCACAAGGCATTGTCCAAGAGCACTGCACCACCCGTTCCCATCCTAAGGGGTTGGTGTTCTTATACCCCTTCCCTTCGCATTTCAACCACGGTGGAAAGTCCCTACAGCAAGGACTCCATGTGCTTATGGAAGGAAGGAGTGCTATACTATGGTGAGTTAAGCAGCTTCCAGAGAATCTGCTAGTTTATGTCCAATTAAGAGAGTGGAGAGCAGATTTTATCAGTTCCACACTAATTCAGACTAAGATGTTAATTGTTATAACAGACATTTTGTCTTAACCCAGTGTTTTCCAAAATGCACCCTGGAGCGTTGGTCCCCAAACTTTCTCTCCAGAAAAGGGTTCCATGGTAAAACAAGTTTGGGAAACTGTTTATCACATTCTCCTGGAGTTTCACAGTGCACATAAGCACTGAGAATTCTGAGACGTTTTGGGGTAATGATCCCTGGTTGATCTTTTTTAACCCAAGATCTCCCAAGAGAATTTGATGTAGGACTCAATGTCCTGCAGAAGGAGTGCTCTGTGAAGCCCCTTTGGGAAACACCCCTTCCCCAGGGAGAGGTGGGTTCAGTGGTGTGTTGGTCTTACAGGGATGGGGCTTTGGTAGGGTCTAGGGAAGCCTGGCGGGCTACAGTTCATAGGGTCGAAAAGAGTCAGACCTGGCTGAGCATGCACCATGCATGAATGCACAGGAGACGAGGCAGAGGGTATTCTGATGAGATTGTTTGCCCCTTTCGTAGATCTAATCATCATTTTTCTTCTTTCTTCTGCTCATCTGTTCTTTTCAGACCTCCTGCTCTGTTTCCGTTTAGGAAACACTGAACTTTGCACTGTCTGCATATTCTTAGAGTTCCTCTTTCACATGAACCCTCAGGCTTCCAGATAAGAGTTTGAAAGTAAAGTTAACAGCTAAGAATAGTCTCCAGTATGTCAGAAGCTGGCAAATTCAGCTGGTTCTCTTCACTCAGTCAGCCAAGCTGGAAGATGTAGAAGCCCACACAGTTCATAATCCAGCACCCATGTTCTCTCATTGTGATTGCATGTGTGGTACACAGTCACACACAGACAGAGAGCAAACTATAGAGAAGTGGGTTTTCATCTACATCATTTAATCTAATCATTCCATGACTTGCTCTTTCTTCCCCCATTATTCTGTTGCAAAGAGCTGCCAATTGATAGGTGCCGTGCTTTCATTTAGCTTCTGTGTGGCACACCATCGTGTGAATAAACCATCATGCTCCCCCACTCCCCTGCTGGTGGACATGTTGGAAAGTCTTTAATTTCTGGCTATCACAAGCCAGTGCAATCAGTTTCCTCATACATCTTGTCTCCTGATTTCTTTAATGAGTTGCTCTAGGGAACATACAAAGGAGCAGACACGCAGGATTGCAGACCACATGTTAAATTTTCTAAATGTTGCCTATTGTTTTCCAAAGGGTTTCTGCCAATTTTCACCCCAGGAGCTGTTCCTGAGTTGCTGTTTCCCTACATCATCCACCCAGTTTACACCTTGAGACATTTTCATCCTTGTCAATCTAATGTGTGTGCAATAGCTTCTCTTTTACTGTTTTCCTCATCCTTAAGTTGCCACTATTTCTTGCTTTATGTGACGGTACCAGAGTTTATTCAACCATTCTCCTATAGATGGGCATTCAGTTTGTTTCCCATTTGTATATTGAATTATATTTTGTATTAAAACCAGTACTGCAAGAAGCAACCTCGTACAAACATGTTGATGTACTGGTGCTTGAATTACTGTCAGATTAATTTCCAGAACTCACATACCTGAGTCAAATCATCAGTTTTCACTTTAAGAAATAATGACAAAACTCTCTTCCCAAAATTTTACAGCAGTTTTCAATCTCACCAATGGTATATGAAAATATACTATTACCTATACCTTCACTAATGCCTGATGACCTCAATCTTTTAAATTTTTAACAAAACAAAAGGCCCTTACCCTGAAGTAAGAGCCCACTGCTGTCTTAATCTGCATGCCCCTGGCCACTGGTGAGTTTAGCCTCTGCTTTGCTCCTTGTTCAAATTTCCTGTTTATGCACTTTATTTTTCTATGAGTTTATTATTAATCTAAAGGAGCTCTTCATATATTGGGATAGTATCCCTTTGTTATACGTATAGTGTATTTCATTTGTCTTCTGTTGCTCTTACCACAGATTTTAGCTCTTTATTTTCTTAATATATGCATTCTTTTTCTTTGTAAATTTTGGGTTTCCTGCTTTGCTTAAGAAGGCCCTCCCCATCCCAGTGTTACATAAGTACTCATATTTTTGTCTAATATTTTTTATAATTTTGTTAACTTTAGGCTTTTAATTCATCTGCTATGCATTTTTATACATGATGTGAAATCGGAATCGAATGTTTCTGGTATCATTTATTAAGTAATAAGTTTCTCCCTGCTGCTTTGGGATGATACCCACGGCACACGGAGCTGATGTGGCAACCATGTGTGCGGGCCCTGCAGTCAATGCCTGGGCTCAGCCCCACTTACTGCCACTGGGAAAGCTATTCAATCTCTTTGCGCCTCAACTGCCCCATCTGTAAAGTGGGAGAAATAATAATACCACCTCTTAGGGTTTGGAATTAAATAGGTTACACTATGAAAACACATAGACTAGTATTCAACACATAGGAAACACTGAGTACATATTAACTAGTTTTGTATTACATTCGCATATTTTCTTGAGTCTGTTTTTCTACCCCATGACCCAGCACTATCTTTTGGTGGTCAAGACTTTCTAATAAATGTGAATGATTGTTTTGTTATCTCACTGTTCTTTTTAGTTTTTCATGCTGAGAATTGCTTTGAATTACAAATAATGTGTCCCATACTGGCATTTTAATAATGTTCCATCTTTCCACCCACTTAGATCTATGTGATATCCTTCAGTGGAATTTCTAGTTTTATTCATGAAGTGCTTTCACCATTCCAGTTGCCTTATACCAACAGAAACTGTAGCTGTTACCATTCTAAGTGGGATATTTTTCCATTTTAAATGAATATTGCTGGGATAAAAATGAATTACTCATTTTTCACTATTTACTTTGTATTGACACCTTGCTGAACTATTTTATTGGTTCTAATTATTTTTAAGTGAGTCTTTTTAAATTGTCTGGTTATTTGATCATGTTATAAAAATGATGATACTTTTGTGTCTTAGTTTATGTTATTTACATCAGTGATTTTTTTCTTATTGCCAGAACAAAGTAACGTAGCAAGGATGAACATCCTTTATGAGTCTTGATTTTTGAGAAAATACCTTTGATATTTTTATTTGTTCAATATGTTGTTTTCTGATAAACACTCTTTGCTTATTTATTTGTTCAATATATTTGCTACTGTTTTCTGATAAACAGTAACTTCATGGTTCATTTTAACATCATGTTTGTTTAGCTGAACTTGTTCAATTAATATGGGGCTTCCCTGATGGTTCAGCAGCAAAGAATCCTCTTGCAATGCAGGAGGTGCAGGTTAGATCCCTGCGTTGGGAAGATCCCTGGAGGAGGGCATGGCAACCCACTCCAGTATTCTTGCCTGGAGAATCCCATGAACTGATAAACCTAGTGGGTTACAATCCACAGGGTCACAGAGTTGGACATGACTGAAACAACTGAACATGCATACACGCACTTTCAATTAATTATATGAAAAAGTGGGTAATATAATGTCCCAGTCCATACTTGTCCCCACAACCCCTCCCCCAAAAAATATTTCTCCTGCCCTCACGAATTCCTTGACTTGATATAAGAGGCTTAAATGATGATCTAAAAAATGTCGTTTAAACACCTAACACTGTCTCCCGGTCATCACCATGGCACATAAGAAACCTAATGACAGTTTGGTTAGTTTCCTTTTCCCAGAAGCTTGTGAGTTTGTAGGAACATCTCTCCTCCCTCTTTACCCCTTCCTTCCTCTCCCCTCCCTCCCTCCAACATTCTCCTCTTTGACATTTACAATATAGTCAGAATATATCTAGGAATGCCTTTTTTCCCCTTTGTTATTTTTTTCTGTATAGGATTTACTCAGAAAATTGAGGTTTCTTTAGCTTAAGGAAGTTTTTCTCCTATTTCTTTGATTTTTACTCTTCCATATATTGCTCTTTATCCTTTGGAACTCTGACTCTCCACAAATCAAATCCTGTATACCTAACTTTCATGTCTCCTGTGTTTTCTTCCATGGCTTCCATTTCTTTGTATATCGGTGTTACAATTTCTTCCATTTGACCCAAGGCAGTTCCTGTCATATAACAGTGCTCGATAATGAGATAATGAATAGATTATTGTCTTCCAGGAGACTGATTAGATCTCACAGTGACTAGTATTCTCTTCCCATTTTTCTATGGAATTTTCAATTCAGAAATCATGTTTTATGGTTGCAGAAAGTCTTTTTAGATTCTAATTACATCTCCTTAAGACCTCTCTAGCCCTCTCTCTTTTTTAAGAAATTAAATGTCTTTTCTGCTTTTTCCTTCTGGTTGGTTGTTCAACATGGTCTTCCCAGTGGAGTGTGATTTTTCTTGGCCTATTTGTCTGCAGATGGGAAGGTCTTTGGGCCTTGCACAGGTCAGCCTGTCAGGTCTCTCAGGCAGCAGTCTTTGAGTCAAAGGAATATAGCGTTTGGTTTCAGGTGCCAGTTGTAAACTAGCTGGCAAACTGTACTGTCTCCTTGCATTGAAGAGGCTGTGGTCTTATGACCACCCAAGGTGGAAGCATTTTGGAGGCTGGGGTCAGCGGGAGTCAGGGAGGTCTTTAGGAAATGTACTCCAAGTAAACTCCACACTTAAAAAAAATGGGAATGCATTAGCTGGCACATCTCCCCTCATTGAGGTCAGTGCTTGCATACTGAAAAAAATCCAGCTCCACTAAGCTCTTAAAATTGATTAGAGCCCTTGGACTTCCAGTGGCTAAAAGAAAATGTTTAGTGATGTTTAAATTGATTTGACCAACAGTAATTGGTGGCACAGTGATAAAGAATTTACTTGCCAATGCAGGAGACACAGGATACGGGGGTTCAGTCCCTGAGTTGGGAAGATCCCCTGGAGGAGGAAATAGCAAGCCACTCCTGTATTATTGCCTGAAAAACCCCATGGACAGAAGAGCCTGGCGGTCTATAGTCCATGGAGTTGCAAAGAGTCAGACATGACTGAGCAAGTGAGCAGGCATGCACCCACAACTGATAGTTAATACCAGCTGGGCTACCAGATAACTGTCTCAGTTTTAGACACATATTGGAGATGCCTTGAATAATTTTTTAAACAAAGGAAAAAAATCAATAAATTGGTTGATTTATTTTGTACATTCACCTGCATTTTTAGTCTGGTTAGTGTCCCAGCATTGGTGTTAATACGAACAACAAAAATAGAAGGTTTTCTTAATGTCTAAGAAAATAGAATGTTGTAAGTAAACCGGTAGCAGGAAATGTAAGGTCCTGTGCAACAGAAAACACTTTTCAAAATGCACCCTGAGTGATTATAAGAGTGCTCATATCCAACTCCTGTTCACCTCTAATGATAATAGTGAGAGGCTTACTGGACAAACAGGATGACTGAAAAAACACTGGGAATTTTTGTGACAATGAAAGTGCAAGATGATACTGAAGGACCTTACGACTTTTTAATGACCTGTACACTTGGTGTTTTACTTCCCTCTCATAAGAGAGATTAAAAAGGAAAGATAATTAGGAATACAAATGGAAAAGCTGAAATCCCAGAATGTAAATTTTGGTTTTTAAACAAATATAAGATCGTTATCCCTGCCCTAAAGAAGTTAACAGATTTTTGGTTTGATTTGCTTCTGCAGTAAACAAAAAGAAAATTTTAAAAAGAGAATTCTCTGGCAGTCCAGTGGTTAAGACTCTGAGCTTCTACTGCAAGGGGCTGGGTTTGATCCCTGGTTGGGGAACTAAGACCCCACAAATAGTGAGACATGGCAAAAAAATAAAATAAAATTTAAATGCCCAGTGCTGCAGGATAAAGTTCAAGGATAACAGATTCTAAAATCTTTGGTGGGGTAGAGTACATGGCCTTTGTTTGAGGGGAGCTCTTTTGACTGTAGCAATGTCTGAACCCACTGTTGGCAGCAGTCTGTGCCTGGAGGTCCTTGCCCAACCACCCTGCTGCCTTGTGCCCCGTGTGTGAAGGCATGACCACTGTCCCCTTTCCCCTGACCACCACACACAATACAAGGGTGTTGACCAAGCTGGTGAGACATTGGATGTCCAGGTCAGATGTGAGGGCCTACCATTTCCACCTCCACTGACCAGCAAGGCAGCTCTGGGCTGGAGGGACATCGCCCTTGAATGTCATCTCAAACAAATGAGGTCTTCTGATGCTCTCTGTATGCACCTACCATCCACTCCTCTGCTGGAAGCCCAGCCTCAGGTTTAGGAGACCTCAGGCCTCCCACTGGGAGGCTCAGGACACAGCAAGGTGGGGGGCTACCAGACCCTGGGAGGCATCCCCATACCTCACCGGGCACACACTCAGCCACAACGTGGTGACCTGATGGGCAGCCTTCAGCCTGAGGGGCGGACCCAGAGGTCAGACATTTAATTCTATTTTTTCTCCTTCGCTTTCACGCTCAGATGGATGGAGTGGAACCCTGGCTTCCCCTTGAGTATTGATGCCAAATGCCACAAGGATTTACCCCGAGATATCCAGTTCGATAGTGAGAAGGGCGTGGACTTCGTTCTGAACTACTCCAAAGCGTAAGTGTGTGAGAGCTTGAGCAGCTGGGGCCGGAGGTGGGACTCTCACTCCTCCCCTTGTGGGGGTCTTGGGCTGAGGGAGCAGCTCTGCTGAGCAACTCCTCCCAAATCACTTGATTCCATCTTGGTCATAGCATGGATCCTGAATGTGCAATCACAGGGGAACCTGTATCTAAACAAAGTTACAGTACATAGGGCTCCAGACGCCAAACAGCTGTTTTCAGCCCAGAGTGGAGGTCTTTACTTGGGAGTGCCTCATCTCCCCTCGGGCTGGTTCCAGGGTAGACCAGGTGTAAGCTGTCCCCTAAGTGGCAGGGTCCTGCGGTAATAATGGCCAGCGTGCCTGTGCTGGTGGCTCACCTGCATCTCTGTTCGTCTTTCACCACAGCCCCATGTGGTGGGCACAGTTCTTAACCCCATTCTGCAGTTCAAGAATCCGCAAAAGAAGGAAGTCAGATATTTGCCCGGTAGCTCCTGCTAATAAATAGCAGAGATCTGACTTCTGTGCTCCTTCTTGGTGGCTGAATTACTAATGGTTTTCAAAAACTCCTTGGGTGCTTGTTACCAATATGGAGCCCCAGGCCCGCCCCGGGGCTAGCGGAGGGGTCTCTCAATCAGTACACTGACACTTTAGGGAATTCTCCCAGTCATGCAAATCTGGAAAACCCTAAATCCATGGACGTGCTACCTGACCAAGCCTTGGACTGCCCTGAGGAACTTCAGCACCTCCTGGTGCCGGCCACTCCCTACCGCCAGGGTGAGACTTTCCCCAAGTGGGCCCTAGCCTTGGGTTGGCATAACCAGGAGGCAGACAGGTTGAAAAGTACTCATTCAGTTAGCTTCTGTGGCAACGTTTGCTTAGTTGCAAAGCTTCTCCCCTCAAGAAGTTGCCTCATTTGGTCGAACTTCTGAACTTCTGTAAAGAAGGGGTGGGAGGCCACACCCCCAGGTCTTCTTCCTTGGGACATATGAGAAAAACCCTACACAGACACACACACAGCCTGACAAGCAAACTCTGCAGGGAATCCCCCTCATATCAGAGGGATCCAGAAACCCAGTTTATCTGTCTTCCTGAGGCTGCGTCTCTGGGAGGAAGAAAGTAACAAGGGCCTGACACTTACCAAGCCCCTACTCAGTGCCAGGCTGTGGGTGTGGGTGCTTTCTCCATAGAATTGTCTGTTTTAACCGTTATGGCAACGCTGGGTTGGGGGGGGAGGGAATCTATTAATCTATTAAAATTATAACAAATGTTATCTCATCTCTAAGTACCCTTTACAAGCAAGAGGTCACCTTTTCTAGAGCCTGGAAAGCGGTGGCCATTTCAGATTCTAGCTGCATCATCTTGGGAGAGGTTTTTAAGTTTCCTGACTTAAAAGCTCCCTGACTGTAAAGGAAGGCCGATGCTGCCTGACTGCTAGAATTGTTATGAGATTGAAATGAAGTCATGTAGGCACTGCTGCTGCGGGGAGGTCTAGCACCCTGTAGGGGTGTGGCCTCTAGTAGCTCCGTTCTGGGTGATGGGGGGGACCTCCTTCTTCCTGAGTCCAAGGAAGCAGACTGGCCAGGGAGCTGCCACCTGAGGCTCTGTCACTGCCTGTTTGCTGGCTCCTCTGGGCTTCCTCCACCCCCACGGAAGCTGGCCCAGAGCAGGCTATCTGCTGCTCATCCTTTGACAAACGTTTATTGGGCTCCTGCGAGTGGGGACCTGAGATGAATCAAAAGCAGTCCAAGAAGCTCACAGTCTATTGGAGACTGAGCTGTGGACGGCTCATCGCAATGGCATGTGATGAATATCCCTTAGGAAAGGAGCACTCGGGAAGCGGGAGGCAGGGAGGAAGCTCTGAGAAAGCAGCATCAGGAAAGAGCTTTCTAAGAGGGAAGCCCAACCTGGGTCTTGAAGGATGTATAGGACTTCACTGGGCTGATTGGAGGAGTGGAGGGGTGGCATTCAGGGCAGTGAGAACTCCATGATCCATGAGGACTGAAGTGGGGGAGCCTGTGTAGGGAAGTGGGACTGAGGCTGCCAATGCAGGGAATGGGGCAAGGATCCCAGCCTTTATTGGGGTGAGACTGCAGGACCATGAGGGTTTGAAGCACGGATAAGTCCATGGGGGTCAGCATTTTAGTGTCAAGGAAAGAGAAGTTGGCTGTCAGATGCTTCAGGGAGATCAGGGGAGTTTAGAGCTGACTCTGTGGATACAGTGACTAGGATATGACACCCAGTGTCATTGAGGAGAGCATTCAGGGGCAGCAGATGAGAGGAAGCAAAGAGGAACCAGTACGTACAGATTCCTTGGTGAACTGAGTGTGAAGGAAGAAAGTGATGAGTAAATTAGACAGCAGGACCCCAGGAAGGAGATGGCAGGAGGGAGGGGGCAAGTACTGTGCTGTAGCCTGGATTGTGAACTTACCCACTGGTCCTCCCAGAACACCGTAGCTTAAGGCTACAGACTTTAATATTAATATTAACAGTAAGTGATAATCAGGGTGCTAGTCACTAATATTTGATGAACTCATTTTACATACCAGTGCTTTTTATATATCATGTCAGCCCTGTGAGGCAGGGACAATCATTATACCCATTTCATGGATGAGGACACTGGGGCACAGAAGGTTAAGGATTTGTCTGAGACCACACTTCTGGGAAGAGATGGGGCTAGGATTTTCAGCCAGGCTGTAGTAACCTGCATCCATCTCAACTGTTCTCTTTAGCCTTGGCCTGGCTTGCATATGGACTCCAGCCCCACTCAGGATTCTTGTGTCCAGACCCCAGCAGTGGAGCTGGGGCTCCAAGACCCTCTGGTCCATCCCCTCAGTGGTCTGAAGGGAAAAGGTGCCCACCCTGCACGTGGCAGCCCTACTGCCCTGAAGGTCCCTGATCTGACCTGACCTGGGGCCTGGCCGGCCTCCCCACAGCTCCCTCCATGAGGCGCCACTCCGCCCTTAGCTAACCTCAGGCCGGCGTTTACTACGGAAAACAGACTTGGGGAGATCTTCAGGGCCCCTCCCTCTTGAACCTCTGCCTCTGGACAGCTCGGTTTCCGCGTCGCTTCTGGGTAACTGGCAAGTTTCCTCGGAGCCGCCTGCTCTGCCTGGAACGCGGCTGGCCCTGTCCAGTAACCTTGGCCCCCCCACCCCAAAGAGCACAACCATGAAATGGGAAATGGAGAAGCTGTTCAAAGAAGGAAAGGGGTGGAGGGGGCGGAGGAAGCAGGAGCTCCTGCCTCTGCCAGCGCAGGCCCCACAGCTGGTGCCCAGCCCAGGCCAGCAAGCGGTTCCATGTGAGTTCCCGCCTGGCCGTGTCTATATCTGGTTCTGTTTTTACCTGGCTGTGCCATTACCTGTCCGCCCTCTCTGGCCGCGGGTTCTGCTTTGTGTGATAACACATCTTTTTATGTAGCAATATTTTGCCTCTAGATGACTTGCAAATAATTTTCCTCCTAACTCCTCTTCTTCCTGGATCTCTGGCTTCCTCTGGGTAGTCCTACCACACCCCACCCTATGTTCGGTGCCAACCTTCTGTTTAAAGGTCAAAGAGACCAGCTAGGGAGACCCATGACCCACGTGGGGCTGTGACACCCTCCCAGTCCCCCACAAAGTGCACTCTTTCCAGGGCAATGTGGTGCTGGGCCATCCTCTGGGCAGGGAGGATTGTACAGGCCTGGGAAGGCCTCTCCACACCTAGACAGCAGAGATCATTAGAGGTTTAGTCCTCCACCTTAACAAGGATTCCTGTCCCAGGGAGCTCAGTTAAAAAAGGAGGAGGGCTGGGTGCTAGGTGAGGAAGGAGGAACGTGGCTGGTAGAAGCTTAGCTGGGGGCATTCCTGGAGGCCTGCCTGGCAGTGGTGAGGCTGCAACAAGCACATGAGTAAAGCAAGTATGTGGGTAAAAGCTCCCCCTTCCCCATGAAGGGCTGGGATCAAATTGCTGATGATGACAGAATGAAACCACGGTTCTTCTCAGGCTCTGAGGCGCCAAGCACCTACTGTGTGCAGCCACCACAGCCCAGGCTGTGCTCTAGCACGTTCCAGGCCTCACAGTGTATCAACCATCCATAGACAGCTGATTCCTCTAGCTCGCTGAGGTCATTGGCCTCATGGCCCCAGGACCTGCCCTCAAGCAGAGTGGGCTCCCAGGTCTCCAGGTAGCTAGGACCAACAAGAGAAGTATTTGCTAAATCGAGGCAGGACCCAAACAGGAGTCTTCAGACAGGTGTGTCCTTTTCTGCCTGTGACCTTTGCTGTGACCGGCAGGGCCAGGAGGGGCCCAGGGTCTCCCGCTTGTCTGCTGAGTCCCCATCTTTAGTCACTGGGACTTGCTGCCCTCCTGCATGCTCACAGGTGTCCCCCCCGACGATGCTATTCAGAGCCCTCTGTGCCCGTCAGCCAGGTTCACTCCAGACAAAACACCCAAACCTCAGTCCTTGGAAGGCATGAGGAGGCTCCGGGATTCCCAGACCTTTGCAGACACACTCAGTCCCTGCCAGCCCACTGCCCCAGGAGTAAATGCAAGGAGGGGGCTGGGGCCTCTCCGTAAGGGCTGCTTTCGGGGGGAGGCACCCTTGGGGAAGATGGGCGGGCAGGACAGGCAGCCCACTGGAGGCCCACCAGCAAGGTCCCCCACCCCAGGCCCTGACTATGCTATGTCCATGCACTCTGAGCCCACTCTTGCCCTGAGCCTAGGCCCAACGGAGCAATGCAGACCCACCTTCACCCTCCTGGGGCTTGGGTAGTAGGCAGGTTTTCATGTGAATGTGTTTGTACTTAACCTGCCATCAGCGATGTGGAGGTAACATCACAGGCCTGTGGGGAAGGGGAAGCTTCATGAGATCAGAGGAGAAGCGGGGTTCACTAGGCAAGCCCTCCAGAGACATTCACCCCATATGCTCAGGAGGAGGAAAAAGAGGGGCACACAGCATTCCAAATGGGGAGACCATGCTTGCCAATACTACCAAGTCAGGATAAAAGAGACAGAGCTGGTGGGGAGGCCTGAACCCTGGAAGACTGGACGGCAGGCAGGAAACAGGGTGACTGCTCATCATTCCCAGCCATGCATGTGCCAGAGAGGGAAAAGAGGCAGAGGCCGTCACCATGAGCACTGGCCAGAGTTCCCACAACTCCACCCTGCACCTTGCTTAGGTTATGTAGGAAAGCCTGGGATACCCCTTCCTGCCTTCTCCACCTTTCTGAGACCCATCCCACACCTGCCTCCTCCAGGAAGCCTCCTGGGTTGCTCAGGCCACTCAGATCTCTCTCCTTGTTGCCTGCAGCCTGCCTTTTGAATTTAGTAAGTTCCTATCCTGGGTTACTTTGCTTTCCTGTATAATGAATATTTGGAAGCTGTGTCCTCCTCAGCACCAGGCAAAGAGCCAGAGTTAGGCAGACAGTAAAGGATGGCTAAACTCCACTGAACTGCTCATCCTCCCAAATCCAGGAGACCCAGGAGAGCAGCTGCAGAGGAAATAACAGTGGTCTGTCCCTGGAAGCTTCCACTGATCAGGGGAAGCAGCAGTTTGATGACTGAATGAAGGCATGAGCACTGTAGACTGTTGTTGAGGGCAGGCTACTGGGCTCTTTCTTAGGGGAGTGCAGAAGGAAGCACATGGGCATGGGTGCCAGTTTCATCCTGCTTTCCACAAGGCCAGTCAGCTGCCCCTTGGAGCTGCCCTGGATTCAAGGCCCCTAGAGGCCCCATGAGACCAGGCTGCAAAGGCACCTGGCAGGGGGAGGCGAGGCCAGAGCGTGTGCAAGGGGGCCACCATGTCTCGACCTGCAGGATGGAGAACCTGTTCATCAACCGCTTCATGCACATGTTCCAGTCATCCTGGAGCGACTTCGCCGACTTTGAGAAAATCTTTGTCAGGATCAGCAACACTATTTCTGGTGAGTGTGTTTTGGGGCACTCTCGTGGTGCTGGGGGAGGCTTGCCTGGGCATGGGAAAGGGCTGACCCACCTGCTCCAGTCCAGGCCCTCCCTGTCCCCCAGGCTGGCACCGCCTGCACCCACACAGCGCCCTCTCCTGGGGACCACTCCCCTGGCCAGAGATTTCTACTCCTTGGATGTTCAAGGCTGAGCACCCTCAACCTCATTCCGCCATCAAAAGTCTGGAAAATATCAGAATTTTTTCTTTACATAAATCAGTCATTTTTTATGCTTCTTAACAAAGAAAAGGCAGGAGTTAGAGTGGTTTTTTTAAGCATTTACATGAAAGCAACAATGGGTTCCTTTGGACTAGGATGTGTTTGGTAGAGCAGTAGCATCGTATACCTGCCAGGAATGGCATAGGATGGACCATGCAGCAACTGGAAAGTTAGGAGACAGTAAGGAAGCAAGCACAGGGAACAGCTGCCTTCACCGACTCCTCCCGGGCTGTCCCCCTGCTCCTCTCCTTCTCCCACATCCCAGGCCCCCCTCCTTCCTGGGCACAGCACCTGGGTTCTTTTTCTTTCTGTAGGTACAGCGTTGCACTTATTCATCTTGCTTGATTGAAACTTCATGCTCATGGCTTACTAACTCCCCCACTCCCTCTTAACCACCACCAGGCTATGCTGCTTTTGGTATTGATGTTTTCAAGATTTTTTTTTCTTTTTGATGTGGACCATTTAAAAAGTCTTTATTGACTATTTTGCATTATTGTTTCTGTTTTATGTTTTGGTTATTTGGCCATAAGGCACATGGGAATCTTAGCTCCCCGACCAGGGATTGAACTCACACCCCCTGCACTGGAAGGCAGAGTCATAACCACTGGACTGCCAGGGAGGTCCCTATGCTGCTCTTTGATTCTATGAGTTTGACTAATTTTGATTTTTCCTGTAAGTAGAATCATGCAGTATTTGTCCTTCTGTGACTGGCTTTTTTCATTGAGCATAATGTCCTCCAGGTTCATCTATGCTGTCATATACTGCACATATACTTCTTTTTTAAGGCTGAATAGTATTCCATTGTCTGTACACACCACATTTTCTTCATCTGTCTGTAGATGAGCATTTACATGGTTGCCACATATTGGCTGTTACGGATTGTGCTGGAATGAACACGGGGATGCAGATATCTCTTCAAGATCCTGACTTCAATTCTTTGGGACGAAGACCCAGAATTGGGATTGCTGGATCATGTGGTCATTCTATTTTGAACCTTTTGAGGAAGCTCCACACTGTTCTTCATGACAGTTGTGCATCCTGCCTTCCCACCAACTATGCACAAGGGTTCCAGCTTCTCCACAGCCTCACCAATACTTGCCTTTAAAAAAAAATAATAATAGCGTCCTGACAGGTGTGAGGTGGTATCTTATGATGGCTTTGATTTGCATTTTGCTGATGATTAGTAATGTTGAGCATTTTGTCATATGCCTGCTGGCTATCGCTATGCCTTATTCAGAGAAATGTCTGTTCAAATCTTTTGCCCTTTTTCAATCGGGTTTATTGGTGTTTTTGCTGTTGAGTTGTAGGAATTCCTTATGTATTTTGAAAATTAACCTCTATCAGATATATGGTTTGCAAACATTTTCTCCTGTTCTGTAGGTTGTCTTTTCACTCTTGATTGTTTCCTTTACTGTGCAGAAGCTTTTTAATTTGATGCAGTCCCATTTGTCTATTTTTGTTCCTTCTGGCCAAGGAGCTAGCTCCTTAGCCTAAAGGCTAGCTTAGGGAGGATGGGGTGGTGCCCTGGCCTGACTGAGTGGTCAAGCAGTTTGGCATGGTGGGCTGTGCAGTGAACGCCTGGGAGAGGGTACCAGCAGGGACTCTGGCCCTCGGTCTGCATCAGGACGACCTCAGCCCGGCTCAGAGCTCAGGCTGAGCTGCAGTTCTCTCTCTGCAGAGCGGGTCATGAATCACTGGCAGGAAGACCTCATGTTTGGCTATCAGTTTCTGAATGGCTGCAACCCTGTGATGATCCAGCGCTGTCTGAAGTTACCAGACAATCTGCCGGTGACCACAGAGATGGTGGAGTGCAGCCTGGAGCGGCAGCTTACCCTGGAGCAGGAGGTCGAGGTAGGACCTGGTAGGCTGGAGACAGTGGCCCGGGCCAGAGGCAGCTCGGGTGGCCGGGTCACACTCAGGCAGAAACCACGTCCTGCTGGCCCATGCTTGCTGGCCTCCAGGCCACTATCTCCAGGCTCTGGTTGATGGTCAGATTGGCTGCCTTCGGTGAAGTGGCCTCTTCCTTTTCCTGAGCATTTATGAAAGTGTCCAACATAGATGAGGGAATTGAGAGTAACATTTCTCCATGATGCTCAGGTCTGAGAGCATAAGATCAATGTTTTCAGTATCAATATCACAATTAAAAGAGCTCCCTCTAAAAAATAAATAAATAAATAATAAATAAAAGAGCTCCCTCTAACAAAAGACCTGTTATGGGTCAAGTATTCTGAGAGATGCTTTACATGCAGAACCATCAATTGTTACCCACCTTGCAAAGGTAAAGAAACTGTAGAAAAAGCTAATCTTACATCAGGACAAAACAAAACAAAAACAAAAGGAGAAAACTGATGGAACTCTGACTTTTTAATTAGAAGTGTTGGTCTTCTGCTCCTGTCCTCACCCTCTTCCCACCCCTCTTTTTGGCCCTCATCTGCAGGGTCAGCTCTCTCCACTTCCAAGACTCGTCTAGTTTTGAGACAGAAAGGGTTCAAATCTCCTCCTCTGGAGGTACTTGATGTCAGCCACCTCCACCTTCCCACTAGAGCCAGGATGAGCAGGCCTCCTGCCAGCGGCCCCTCAGGTGTCTAGGGGGCCTTCTACTGTTTCTAGGCACCCCATGTTGCTTGCTCAGCTCATCTTAGGAGGCTGGCAAGAGAGGGATGGTCAGTGCCATTTGAAGATAGACCTCCTAGCCCTCACACCCTGCCCACCTGACTCCAGAGAGCCACCTGCCTGGGTAAGGTCCCCAGGCAGGGCTCCTGCCCAGTCACGTGGACAGGTGACAACACATACCTCCACGCAAACAGGCACACACAGCAGTGCTTCTCTGTAGACTTAATTGCTGGACATGGTAACATTGATTCAATGATACTGATTTCAAGCTTCAAGTCAGAGAATCACTGAACCCTGAAAGTCAGAGAATCCTAGAACTGGAAGGGACTGAGCAGCCACCCATGTACCCGGCCACCCTAGCAGGGGGATCAGCCTCCACTTAGGAGTCCTTGCCACCACAGTGGTCACCTTTCCTTTGAGTCTTGGTGCTCAGCTGTGGTTTCAAGGGTGAAGCAGTAATCCAATAGCCACCATTGACTGGATCCTTAGACATGCACCACCCATCTCTTATGCATACATGGCTCTATCCCCCATCTCTTACGCATACATGGCTTCATCCCCTGCAATGTAGTTCTCAATCCCCACAATCTTTTCTGCTACCTCTCTTTGGCAGCATCTTATGACCTACAGAGATCATAGATTTGTGGCCAACTAAAACTCCAAATTTTTTTTTCATCTTTACCTATGCAATTACTTTTTTGCAATATGAATAGGTAAATTCTACCCCTATTGTTGTTTTTGAGTCATTGTCACAACTCTTCAAGAGTGTTTTAGTTCTTAGACTTTATATTAGGATTCTGTGGTTTCAAGTTAAAACCAATTTAACCCAAGAAATGCCTTGGTTGGTGCAACAGCATAAAGCAGACTGAACTAGCTGGGTCTAAGATTCAGATAATCCATTAGCATCATTTCTCCAGTTATCAATTTTCTGCTGCTGTTGGAATTATTTTTTTCTGTGGAGGTAAATATGACCACTAAGAGCTTCAGACTTACCTTCCATCATTTTAGCAAACACTGCTGAATCACAGAAAACAAAGTCCCTATTTCCCAACACTTTCAGCAAATGTCATGGGTCCAGTTTGAGTTGTGAGACAATTCCCTGAGCCAGTCACTACAGCAAGGAGAATGGAGAATGCTGACCAAAAGGAGAGGACAGGGACACCAGATAAGCGAGACCACCTGTATCTTCTACAGAATCTAGAATATCAGAACTGAGAGATACAGTTGGCTCCTCACTTTCCAGAAGGATGAAATCACAGCCAAGAGAAAGGAGGTGGCCTGGAATGACAGAGAAATGCCCTATAGGCAGCCCCAAATCCCAGGCCTCCTGGTTCCCAGGGTCTCCCTTTAGCCTGTCATTCATCAAGTTAAATAATTTGGTCTGCTCAAGAGTTGATTGGCAGCCATTTCTTCTGCACAGTGGTCACTGATGGCCACTCTGCTCTGAAAGTCCATTTGTCCAGCCCATCTCAGAAGCCCAACCATCCCTGTGACCCACCAGGCCTGGGTGTCTCCAGTTTCTGGCCAAGGTGTCCTGAGGGACCATCACATACTCTCCTGGAGGCAGCCTATCCCCACCTTCCCTCTGCCCTGACTGGCCAAGGGCACCCTTCTCTCTTTCCCCCACCCTGTCCCCTTCCTGCCCTAAGTGCCACTCAGCCCGATGCTCAGAGCTCATCACTGGTGTCAGACAACTGTAGGGTCCTGCAGCTGGTATTCCTGAGGCCTGTGAGCTGTGGTCACCTGGCGCCCTCTGCTGGCAGACATGTGGACATGCAGCTGACTTGAGCACCTGTTAACAGGTCTATCTACCACATCTACCCTGACCCCCTTCCCCAACCGGATCGCAACCGCTGCCTTCATTTCTAACTTAAAACACAAGAAGTACCTTTGTCCTCCACCCAGACTCTTCCATGTCTGGCCCGAGCAGGCCCCGGCCCTGCAAAAGGAGCCCTCACGACTCTCAGGTTAGGCTCCGTCTTGGTAGCTCAGATGGTAAAGAATCTGCCTGCAATGGAGGAGACTCCAGGTTCGATCCCTGGATCAGGAAAATCCCCTGGAGAAGGGAATGGCTACCTACTCCAATATTCTTGGAGAAGGCAACGGCAACCCACTCTAGTATTCTTGCCTGGAAGATCCCATGGACAGAGGAGCCTGGTAGGCTGCAGTCCATGGGGTCGGGAAGAGTCGGAGACAACTGAGTGACTTCACTTTCACTTTTCACTTTCATTCATTGGAGAAGGAAATGGCAACCCACTCCAGTGTTCTTGTCTGGAGAATCCCAGGGACCAGGGACGGCGGAGCATGGTGGGCTGCCGTCTATGGGGTCGTACAGAGTCGGACACGACTGAAGCAACTTAGCAGCAGCAGCAGCCAGTATTCTTGCCTGGAGAATTCTATGGACAGAGGAGCCTGGAAGGCTACAGTCCATGGGGTCACAGAGTCACACGTGACTGAGTGACTAACACACGCAGGGGACTCAAGTGTAACCTGCGGTGGGCAACTTGCAACCTTCCCCACATGCATTTTAGTTTTATATTGAAGTGTGATATCTACAGGAATCAAGAGTGGCAACAAGTTCAATGATGGCTTGGTAGAACCAAGTTACCCAGCCATGCCAGAACCTCACACCAGGACACAGAATACACACCACCCCTGCAGACCCCACCCCCACCCTTGTAGACCTCCTTACCCCTGAAGACCCTCCCTTAAAACCTCAGGGTCCCCCAGCCCTGCAACCCCTCCTGACATGGTGGACACCCGCTTTTGAACCTCAGAACCTCCCTCCTGCCACCTTTCCATCTCTCCTCCCAAGGGTAACATTTGTCCTGACTCTGACACTCGAGTTTGCCCAGCTTTGAACTTCTGTAAGTGGAATCCTGCAGTATCACTCTTGGCATTTGACTTCTCTCATTTATTTCATCTAAATTCTGTCTTCTTTCTTTGCTGTCACTCTGGGTGGTCTTTCATGAGGCTCAACATCTTTCATGAGGCTCAGGCAGACTGAAGGTACAGCAAGTGTGTTAGGAGCCCCTGGCATTTCTTCACCTTGCTGAGCCCCACCATAGCCTATGAAAACTGCTGTCAATATGCCTTGGAGTCAGAGGACTCCAAGATCTCTAAGCTCTGAACTCCACTATGTTGACTGGACCTCCTATCCCTCCCACTGTGCCCAATTCCTGGGTCTGTCTCAGACTGAACCTGATTTGGATGTATTTCCTCTTACCTCCTGCAGCAAGGGAACATCTTCATCGTGGACTTTAAACTGTTGGATGGCATCGATGCCAACAAAACAGACCCCTGCACTCTACAGTTCCTGGCCGCGCCCATCTGCTTGCTGTACAAGAATCTGGCCAACAAGATTGTCCCCATTGCCATCCAGGTAGGCGGCTCGGCCCGGTTCTCATCCTGGGCGGCTACATCCTCAGTAGCCAGGGCTCAGGGAGGATTTCCTGGGTGGATCCAACAAACCTCCAGGAGGGAAAGGCAGTAGCCCTGCCTGGAATCTCCTGCTTAAGGCTCTGCCAGGTGGACAAGACAAACAAGAACATAGGGTTTCCTGCCAGTCGTGGGGAGGGCTGACCATAGTGGGCAGAAAGGGCTCCACTCCACAAGATACCCTTGGACACTTCCTGGCTCTGGGGAGGACCTTCCCTGGGATGGTATGGGCTCCCCACCACAGCATTCTGACCAGCTCCAAATCAAAACACCAGTAGGACATAGAAAACCCTAAAGATAGTATCAGGAAACTACTAGAGCTAATCAGTGAATTTAGCAGAGTTGCAGGATACAAAATCAATACACAGAAATCACTTGCATTTCTATACACTAACAATGAAAAATCAGAAAGAACAATTAAGGAATCAATCCCATTCACCACTGCAAGAAAAAGAATTAAATATCTAGGAACAAACTTACCTAAGGAGACAAAAGAACTGTACACAGAAAATTATAAGACACTAATGAAAAAAATCAAAGATGACATAAACAGATGGAGAGATATTCCATGTTCTTGGGTAGGAAGAATCAATATTGTGAAAATGACTATACTACCAAAAGCAATCTACAGATTTAATGCAATCTCTATCAAATTACCAATGGCATTTTTCACAGAACTAGAACAAAAAATTTCACAATTCATATGGAAACACAAAAGACCCTGAATAGTGAAAGCAGTCTTGAGAAAGAAGAGTGGAGCTGGATGAATCAGCCTTCCTGACTTCAGATTATACTACAAAGCTACAGTCATCAAGACAGTATGGTACTGGCACAAAAACAGAAATACAGACCAATGGAACAAGATAGAAAGCCCAGAAATAAACCCATGCACCTATGGGTACCTTATTTTTGACAAAGGAGGCAAGAATATACAATGGGGCAAAGATAGCCTCTTCAATAAATGGTGCTTGGAAAACTGGACAGCTACATGTAAAAGAATGAAACTAGAACACTTCCTAACACTATACACAAAGATAAACTCAAAATGGATTAAATATCTAAATGTAAGACCAGAAACTATAAAAATCTTAGAGGAAAACATAAGCAGAACACTCAATGACATAAATCAAAGCAAGATCCTCTATGACCCACCTCCTAGAGTAATGGAAATAAAAACAAAAGTAAACAAGTGGGACCTGATTAAACTTAAAATCTTTTACACAGCAAAGGAAATTGTAAGCAAGGTGAAAAGACAACCCTCAGAATGGGAGAAAATAATAGCAAATGAAACAACTGACAAAGATTAATTTCCAACATATACAAGCAGCTCATACAACTCAATACCAGAAAAACAAACAACCCAATCAAAAAGTGGGGAAAAGACCTAAACAAACATTTCTCCAAAGAAGACACACAGATGCCTAATAAACACATGAAAAGATGCTCAACATTGCTCATTATTAGAGAAATGCAAATCAAAACTATGAGATATCACCTCACACTGGTCAGAATGGCCCTCATCAAAAAGACTACAAACAATAAATGCTGGAAAGGGTGTAGAGAAAAGGGAATGCTCTTGCACTGTTGGTGGGAATGTAAATTGATACAGCCACTATGGAAGATGGTATGGAGATTCCTTAAAAAACTAGGAATAAAACCACCATATGACCCAGCAATCCCACTCCTAGGCATATACCCTAAGGAAACAAAAACTGAAAGAGACACAAGTATCCCATTGTTCATTGCAGCACTATTTACAATAGTTAGAATATGGAAGCAACCTAGATGTCCATCGACAGATGAATGGATAAAGAAGTTGTGGTATACATACACAATGGAATATTACTCAGCCATAAAAAGGAACGCATTTGAATCAGTTCTAATGAGGTGGATGAACCTAGAACCTATTATACAGAGTGAAATGAATCAGAAAGAGAAAGATAAATACCATATTCTAACACTTATACGGAATCTAGAAAAGTGGTACTGAAGAATTTAATTACAGGGCAGCAGTGGAGAAACAGACATAGAGAATAGACTTATGGACACGGGGAGAGGGGAGGAGAGGGTGAGATGTATGGAGAGAGTAACATGGAAACTTACACTACCGTATGGAAAATACAAAGCCAACGGGAATTTGCTCTAAGGCTCAGAAAACTCAAACAGGGGCTCTGCATCAACCTAGAGGGGTGGGATAGGGAGGGAGATAGGAGGGAGGATCAAAAGGAAGGAGATACATGTATACCTATGGCTGATTCACATTGAGGTTTGACAGAAAACAGCAAAATTCTGTAAAGCAATTATCCTTCAATAAAAAATAAATAAATTAAAAAAAAAAACACCAGTAGGGCCTGAGCAAGTGAAGCTGTGATATGAGCTAGAAGCTGAGGTTGCCGAGGGAGGACCATGGAGGTGGGGAGCCATTGCAGTCCTAAGATGCTCCCGGGTTCTTGTCTCCACTGAGGATGATAGAGGAGGAGACGGGTGCAGTTTGGAGGAGGGACAGGCAGGGCCAGAGCTTCCTGTCTCCCCGTTCCTGGCTGCATCTGCTTTCTCAGGGTGTCATGCCACGGCAACACTGTGGGAGACGTTACACCAGCAGCAGGAAACCGCGCCGAGGTCAGGACCTGGCGTGGGTCTGTGAAGGAGCGAGGCTTCACAGGGCCCCCAGGGGGAAGGCAGACAGGCACTCAGCAAACAGCACCCTGAGTCAGTCATGAACCCGGCAGTGGGCACCATGGGCATGAGCAGCTAGTTCTGCCAGATGTTAACCGCATGCCAAGATTATCCCAAGGGTTTGCCCACATAGTCCATAATCCCTTACTCTCAATTCTGAAATCTAAAACTCTTCAATTCTCAAAAAATTTGTAGCAGATTCATTGGCAGCAAAGCTTGCTCTGAACCAATGTGCATGCACGCTCCATCCCTCAGTCATGTCTGAACCTTTGCAATTCTATGGACTAGCCCACCAAGCTCCTCTGTCCATGGGGTTTTCCAGGCAAGAATACTGGAGTGGGGTGCCATTTCCTCCTCCAGGGGATCTTCCTGATAGAAGGGAATACTTAAGAGGCTTTCTCCCAATCAGTGTGAAAGGTGTGTTTCATGCAGAAATATTAGCATGATTGAGTGTAAAATATTGTGTTGGTGCAAACTCAAGGAGAGGAAGACAGGTGTCACATAATGATGTGTACACGTTGCTAAAAATCCTAAAAATCCTGGATTCTGAAACATTTGGCCATCAGGGTCAGACCAGAAAACCTGCATTTACATAATTATCACTACAACCCTCTGAGTAGGTAGCACTCCATCTGCTGATCATTTTAAGCAGATAAGGGAACCGAGGCACCAGGGCACACAGTCAGCGGCAGAACTGAGATGGGGGCCAGGTCATCTGGCTCCAGAGTTTGTGTCCCCTCTCCCGCCCCCCACCTCTAATCAATCAAGGGCAAGAAGGGGATTCAGAAGCACCCAGACAGAGGCTGGGGAGCAGCAGTATTTAAGGGGAGAGCCGAGGAAGGAAAAATCAGGAGACCAGAAAGCAGCTGCAGAGAAGTGGGTGGGACCAGGAGGGAGGGGCAGAGATGGGGAGCGGGTGGAAGACCACTGCCCACACCTTCTCACACCACAGCATTCACCCCGTGTTGTCACCTTCACACCCTTTCATTCACTTCCCCTAGTAACTGCCAGGCGAATAGACCCTGTCCCCTTGTTAACGACAGTGAAGGTGGAGTTCATAAAGGCTAAGTTGTCCGGGGTCCCACAGGTAGTAAATGATGTAGCTGGGAGGAGAAATTGTTACAAACCCTAGGCCTCTGCCCTCCTTCGTGATTCTCTCATGAGTCAAAGTCTCTGTTTAAGAAATCTGGATTCTCCTGGGATTTCCTGAGAGGCCAGACTGTCCTACGGTTACAGTCTGGAGCGAAATATTGCAATGCCTTCTCTTTCTGCAACGTATCAGCTCAACCAGGTGCCGGGAGAAGAGAATCCCATTTTTCTCCCTTCGGATGCAAAGTATGACTGGCTCCTGGCCAAGATCTGGGTGCGCTCCAGTGACTTCCACATTCACCAGACCATCACCCACCTTCTGCGCACACATCTGGTGTCTGAGGTGTTTGGCATCGCCATGTACCGCCAGCTGCCTGCCGTGCACCCCATTTTCAAGGTACAGCAAGCTCCTTCCTCACCCTGGGGGGAGAGGTATCAGATATGGGGGTAGAGGACAGAAGGAAGGGAGGAGGGGCCCCGACATCCCCACAGGCCTGAGCCCTGGAGAGGCTGGGGAAAGGGGGGAGGCACCCCCAGGAAGAAAGCAGCTCAGAGCCTGCTGGGTCCTGAGGACATGGGACGGGGGCTGGTACCTGGGCCTGCCCTGGCTCTGGCTAGCCTTGGGAGAGGCAGCAGAGTCTGAAGAGATGAATGAGTTCAGTGCTGCTCTGTCTGATCCCAGGGGGCAGCCCCACATTCACTGCCCTTCTGTCTCCTGCATCCTGGGGACACTGACTGCTGGAGCGACTGCAGGCTTAAATTACCTCCATTTCCCCATCTGTAACACCGAGATCAGATAGTACCCCTGCCCTCTAGGATCACTGTCAGGGTTGACATAGTGGACAAATTCGGAGAATTTCAAAGAGTGCCCAGCGCACAGTTGTGCTCTGTGCAAGCGTTGACGATGGTCATTTCGTCATGATCATTCTTGCTGAGCATCAGAGTGGCAGTCCCCAGGCTGCCATGCCAGCAGCTCTCAGCAGTGCAGGTCGACACGCCAGCTTCACTCCCTCCGTGAGCCCTGGCATCGCTCCTCCACAGTGCACTGGGGTGGGGTGGGGCTGGGGGACCTGGGGACCCCGAGGAGGCACAGACCGGGTCTGGAGCCCCTGCCCTGGCCACCTCTGAGGTCTGCCCCTGTCGCTGCACCAGCTCCTGGTAGCACACGTGCGGTTCACCATCGCCATCAACACCAAGGCCCGGGAGCAGCTCATCTGCGAGTACGGCCTCTTTGACAAGGTGAGGGCCCACTCCAGGGCCGGAAGAATCTCAGCGGCCCCCACCTGACCTGAGGCCCATATTTCCTCTCCAGAGACTAGCCCCCTAGGCACCACCTGGGTGAAGGCCTGGGAAGGGTGGGAGGCTGGGTGCACTCCGAGTGAAGTCTCCCATGTTCTCTGGCCATGGTCCACCCCTTCCATCCACCCTCTCTTCCTTCTCACTTGGTCACCTCCCCCCATCCCTCCCCTCCCCTCCCCCTGGCATGTGGGTGTACACCCTGCCTCCCTGCCCTGTGGCCCACACTAGTTTCCTGCACCGCCCCACCCACTCTGCCGCCCATCGCTTGGAACACAGCCTCCCACCCTTCCTCCCTTCCAGGCGTCGGCACTCCCAACCCACTCTTCCCTTCAGTGGGGCCTTGGGTCCCTACCCACCCATCATGCCCTTTCAGGCAGTACCCCTTGCTGTGACCCCTCTGGAGGCTTACTGGACCCTCCCACAGCCTTACCCCCAACCTTGCTCTTTCCCACCTCCAGTTAGTAAGCCAGACAGACCATCCCAAGGGTTGAGTCACCATTTGGGCAGAAAATGACAAAACTCATCTCAGGCCAGCTACAGCTGGAATGGGACCGTGTCATCTCACACACCGGGACACGTTCGGGAGCTTCAGCTCCTCGCTCCATGTTCCCTTGGGCAACGCTGGCCCGTGGCCTCCACCTCAGCACCTGGTGCCGGGCCCAAAGCCCCCCAGGAGACCCCTGCCCCCTAGGATGCCTCATACACGGCCTGGGACTCAGTGTCCCCAGGGTACAAGGCCACTGGCTGGCACTCTTCCTCTCTTTAAACTGTGTGGGCCTCACTCTCCGAGACAGGCTCTGCAGACAGGCTTCCCCCAGTGGGAGGGGGACATCACAGTGAGCTCCAAGCTTACATTCCCTCACAGTGACATCATCTTCCATGCAAATAGAAAGTACCAGGGAGCAACTCTGCTGGTTCTGCTTGGGTCAAACACCCACCGTGGACCAGTGTCTGGACCCAGCCCCCAAGTTCTCCTTGGAAGAGTCTATGCCCTGAGAACTCAGCCACGTGTGTGCCTGCCTGCAAGCACATGTACCAGCATCTCTGCAGCTGGGATGATGACCAGCAGCCCTCACTAGGCACACAGAGGCCCTCAGCAGAGTGGTGTGTGTCCTGGGGTCCAGTGTATGCCCCTGGTCTTATGCTCAAAGATCAGGTTTCTGAGAGCAATGCATGGCTCCGGGCAGCTCAGAACAAGCTCAGTACCTGTGCTCAGAACAAGGGCAGGTCTGGTCCACGGGTTGCTCTGGCCTGAATTCCACACTGCCTGCTGTCCTCAACTGCACCACTTGGGTGGGGAGCTCACCCCTCCCTCCTGCATCTCAGCCCCTCATATTTGGATCAGGACAAGGCTCCTCCCCATAACCTCCTCCTGGGGCTGCCCTGGGCATGCTCTGAGTTAAATGTCCCTCCCACTCCACCTCACTGGACATGGGCTTGCTCTGGTGGGCCTGGGCATCTCCCTGCCCTTTCACAGTTTCTCATGCTGAGCTCTGGCCCTGGAGGAACCAGCCTTGGCTCACAGCACTTCCTCCCCTCCTGCTCAAGGCCAATGCTACCGGGGGCGGTGGGCATGTGCAGATGGTGCAGAGGGCCATGCAGGACCTGACCTACACTTCCCTGTGCTTCCCTGAGGCCATCAAGGCCAGGGGCATGGACAACACGGAAGACATTCCCTACTACTTCTACCGGGACGACGGGCTCCTGGTGTGGGAGGCCATCAAGACGTGAGCTACAGGGCTGGGGGGTCAGCTCTGGGCAGCGGGAGCTGAGGGCCTGCAGGAGGAGTGGGCGGGGCTCTGATTGTCATGACCGGGGGTGCTGGCCCGCTGACTCAGTGGGCCAGGAGGCCTGGCTCATTGTCAGGGCAGTGATGGGGGAACGGGGCTATGGCAGGTTGGACGGGGGTGGGGGAGAGGGTGACCTGAATCCAGACATCAAGAAGTGACGGGGTCATGGATGGGGCCAAGGGGCCAGTTCTGCAGACCCTGGCTGGTCACCCACTCTTGGCTGGGCCTCTCCTCCTGAGCCAGGTTCATGGCAGAGGTGGTGGACATCTACTACAAGAGCGACCAGGTGGTGGAGGAGGACCAGGAGCTACAGGACTTTGTGAAGGACGTTTATATGTACGGCATGCGGGGCAAGAAGGCCTCAGGTGGGGACCGCTCTCCACCCCACAGCCCTCTCCCTCTCCCCTGTACCACTGAATTGCTTTAGGTGACGCTGGCTGTTGGCCTCCATCTTCGCACCTGGGGCTGAGCCCACGGCTCCCAGGGGACCCCTGCCCTTCAGTGTACCCCACGGGGATATCTCAGGGGCTTTCCAAGAGCCAGGGCAGAAGCAACAGGAACACTGGGCAAAGCAACCGTGCTCTTCCAGTGCGTCTGGCTCATGCCCGGGTCCTCCCAACACTGGTGTGTGGGCACCCGGGACCTGTATGCGTGGGAGTGGGTGTCTGCTGGTCGGGTGGCCTTCCCTGGGGTTGGGGCCTCAGCCAGCCCAGGGCTCTCCCTTAGGCTTCCCCAAGTGCATCAAGACCAAGGAGAAGCTGTGTGAGTACCTGACCGTGGTGATCTTCACGGCCTCAGCCCAGCATGCGGCGGTGAACTTCGGCCAGGTGGGCAAGGACAGGACAAGCCCTCTGGGCGGGAAATGGCCAGGGCCAGCTCAGCTGCCTCTGAGAGCCCTGGGTGGGCCACCCCACTTCCTCAACAGGAGCGGGGGCAGAGGGGCAGAGGGGCCAGGAGTCTGGTGTTTCTGCTGGCCAGTGGAGTTTGGTTCTGTGCTAAGCACTGGATGCCAGTATGAGGGCGGGGGCTTCCCTAGCCCCGCTGGAGTTGGAGGAAGGGGCTCGGGGAGGTGGCAGGGGAGGCAGAGGTGGTTGAGGGCTGCACTGCAGGGGCACCCAGCCGGGTCGGTGGCTGTTCCTGCAGTATGACTGGTGCTCCTGGATCCCCAACGCCCCCCCGACCATGCGAGCCCCGCCACCGACGGCCAAGGGAGTGGTCACCATCGAGCAGATCGTAGACACGCTGCCCGACCGTGGCCGCTCCTGCTGGCATCTGGGCGCAGTGTGGGCACTGAGCCAGTTCCAGGACAATGAGGTGAGACTGGGTTTAACCCCTTCCTCAGTCCCAGGGTTTTGTGATTCAGGGCTCAGGCTGTACCCCTGCCGGCCAGGAATCCTGACTTGCAAGGCTGGAGGGACCTGTGAGGTCCTTAGGCCAGAGCCTGCATGGAGCTCAGAGTGGGGTGGGGCAGGAGAGCAGGGGTCACTGCTCCACCATGACGCTCCCCACAAGGGCACACCCCACCCGTCCCCACTGTTGGTAAAGCTCTTCCATGTGAATTCCTCCCTGGCACCCCACAGGTGAGAGGTGAGTTTCCTTGGTATCTTTTGAGACATTCCCATACTCATACAACTTGTTGAACCTAATTCCAAAGCCCCAAAGCCGGCTCTCAGACACCACCCCCTGGTGTTAGCTCAGTGCTGCTAAGAATGGTCAGTTGAACTGGCCCCAGACCCACCAGCATTTGTTGGCAGTGTGTTGCTTTGGGACCTTTGTCTTGGTCCCTAACATCTTCACATATAGGTCTCAGCACGTGTGTTCAACAGAACCAGTACATTCCTTGTAGCAGAATTTCTTGGTCAAAGAATGCTGAGACTGGCCCTCCACAAACTGAATCCAACATTCCGTCAACAGTGCAGAACACTTCTCCCATCCTGCCCAGCCCTGGCTATGAAACTTTTCAATTTTAACATTCTCGGATCTTGTTTCTAAAAGATACACCTAGTTCCAATTTGCAGACATTTGTGTGAGTGTGCAAATGGGCACACCACCCCAGCAGAGCCTGGCTGTGGCTGACCTGGGCTGGAGAGAAGGCCAGCCTGGCCCTGTGCCCCTGTGGCCCTGACACCAGGCAGGAGTGCGCCTGGGGACTGGGCCACGTGTCCACCACAGCCAGGACCACGCCAGCCTCCATCCACATCTGCCTGAGCCATTACCGGTCCTTATAGCCTCCCTGCAGCGGGGCATTGATCTGTGAGGCCCCAGCCTCGGGTGCTCTCAGCAGGTGGCAGGGGGCGGAGATGCGGGGAGCAGTGATGAGCACAGGAATTGACTCCCAGAGGCTGGGCTCTGGGGACAGGACGAGTCCTGTCGGTTTACATCGCCTCATCACAGGTTAACCTGTCTCTGTCTGGGCCTCAGCTGTTCCTGGGCATGTACCCGGAGGAGCATTTCATCGAGAAGCCGGTAAAGGAGGCCATGGCTCGGTTCCGTAAGAACCTCGACTCCATTGTCAGCGTGATCGCCGAGCGCAACAAGAATAAGAAGCTGCCTTATTACTACTTGTCCCCAGACCGGATTCCCAATAGCGTGGCCATCTGAGTAGCCGCCTGAGCCCGTCTCATTGCAGGACGCCCAGCTGCTCGAGGCTGGGCTCGGCTCCCAGACTGCAGCCTGCCGGGCTGGGCGGGCTCCTGGGGCCGCCAAGGGGTGGGCCTTCGGATTCCTGGGAAGTGGCCTGTGGGACCCAGGCTCCTGGCTTCAAACCAAACACTCCCCAGATTGGACCACAATGTAGCTCAGCTTTGGAGCATTTTCCTGTTTGTTCCTCAGTCTTTAGCAAATGTCACACTTTGACCAGAGTATTTAAAGACTGCAGGGACCTTTCCTACACAGAACAGGACTGTGCCCCTTCCAGCCCTTTCACCCAGCTCAGCACTTCATGGGAGGCAGTCCAGAAGAGCAGCACAAGTGATGGATGTTCTTGCTGAGAAACGGGAAGATGATTTTCTGTTCTATTTATGCTTAGTCCCATCTCTTGCATACAGTAGGTACCCAGATAAATTCTTGTTGAATGAATTAAGAACTGGTTGTTATAAAAATAAAGGAGTTGGCTCAAATCAAGTCTCCAACATGCTGTGTTCCAATCACCCCAAACAGCTCACATCCCCTCCCCACACAAAAAAGCCATAATCTTTGTGATCCCATCTAGGCAAAAGCTGCCCCCGTTCCATTTGGAGAAAAGGTACTTTTCTCTCTTCTTTGCCCAGAAAGTTCCTACGCTTCTTTAGAACACACTTCCTTCAGGACACCTCCTATGTCTGTGGAAGGAGCCCCAGGACCAGGGCTCTCAGGTGACTAGATTTTATGGACCAAAAGTTTTGCAGGAAAAATCAGGAGGGACATTGTTACCAAGTTTTTGTTGCTAAGAACCACCCAATCCACAAAATTACCCCCACCAGAGGGAGGTTCAAGAAGGAAGGGACAAAATATACCAATGGCTGATTCATGTTGATGTTTGGCAGAAACCAACACAATTCTGTAGAGCAATTATCCTTCAATTAAAAAATAAATTTAAAAAAATCACCCCCACCAAGAGCTACCATCTACTCTCATCACTATTCTGTAACAGGGCATTTAACAACAGAAAAGTGGGAGAATGAGGGTAACAGACTACTCTTTCTCGCAACAACCTATGTTGTCTTTTTCCCATCTAACCCCTGGTGCCCCCACAGTGGTGCCAGGCAACACAGTGAGGCCAGCTCCCCTCTGCCAAGACCCTGGCTCTGTGTGTCTTGAATGAAAGGGTGGAAGCTGGACAAAGGGACCAAAGTGGAGCCCAGTTCGGCTCCCTGGACCACTGGACCTCCAGACACCTACTTCATGCAGAGGGGACCCTGCGATGCCCCCACAGAGCCTGGATTCTGCTTCTCTCATTTCAGCTCCCAGAAGCAGGGAGGCAGGCAAGGCAGGCCAGACAAGGCTTCTCTGACAGCTGAAGGGCCGAGGGAAGCTCTCAGCTCAGGACAGCAGGCTCATCCCTTCTTCCTTTTACTCCTGAACTAACCTCAGCTCTATCCAGAACCAGCAACAGAGATGCATAGTAGGACAACTGGTCACTGGGGCACCTCTGAGGCTGGGAGAAAGGACAGGCCCTAGAAGAGGGCCGTCTACACCTCTGTCACCACGTGGGCTGTGCACCAGCAACTCCAGGGGCACCGATCACACAGACCAAGGGTTGGCAAACTTTTTCTATAAAGGGGCATGTAAATATTGCAGGCTTTCCAGGACACAGGATCTGCCAGTGTAGCAGGAAATAAGCTGAACACAGCACATCCATGAAGGGACAAGGCTGTGTGTCTGTAAGTGTATTTACCAAACAGGAAGCTGGTCTGCGAGCACCAGTGGCCACCCCCTGACCTAGAGGACTGGAAGTTCCCCTAGCAGTGTGCCTTAACCCATCATTCTGTGGCTCACATCGAACGGTGAAGAGGCTTGGGGGTGGCATTGTTTCAAAGCCTCGCTGCAACAAGACCTTATTCGGTGTCTCTTCAGCCAAACTCACTAAAATTCATCGGGTCTCCCAAAAATCGAAGCCCCTCATGGGAAGCCCCCTCCTCACATTCTTACGGAAGATTTCTCTTCCAGCTCCAGGCTCCCAACATTCCCTCCAACCAACAGTTGACAGCAAGTGAGCCCAGGGGGGCACTAGTCTCTGTCCCTCCTGCAAGCACACTCCTGAGCAGGTTCAGCTGTTCTGCGGCCATCCCCTCCTCTAGGAGCTTCCACAGCGGCGCTCAGTTCCCAGGACTCAGTTCTCCCAAGTCAGGCAAGAAGGACACTAGCAAAGCACCCCCCTGGGTAGCTCCCCAGTCTTCTGGTGCCCTGAACTTGGGGGCCAATTCTCCCGGCTCACCCACACAGTATGTTGGGGCAACTTTGGCCTCCCTCGTTTCATCTCCTGAGCACAGGTGAAGCCAGGCACCCACCCTCAGCACTCCTAGCCCCAGGAGTGGTTTGCAGTCCCAAGACTGGAGGATCAACCACATGGGCATTACTCGGGGAAGCCCCACCAGTGAGAGGGTAACAGGCAGGAAGGCCAGAGGTCTCCAAACGGAGGAAATAGGCTGCAAGTGTCAGACACGTTTTCTCTCTTAAGGCAGGAGGAAACAAATTAGTGTCATATTTTTTCCCCTTCTCTAGACAAATTTAAAAAGCGGTTTCTCTTAAAACTCTGTGTTGCCATAACGACACCTGGCTCCACCCTAACTTAACTTTGCTCAAACTGAGCTAACCAATGCATTTTTATGGAAATGTTTAAGCTATGTTCATGTACTATGCATTTACCGCCAACTCTGTCTTCAAGTCGGTTCCACCTAAAGGCTCAGAACTAATTTGACAAACCAGTAGATTATACTCATACAGTGTTCTCCTAATCTTTGTTAATGAAACTATTTGTTTGGTAATCTGCCTTTCTTCAAGATTCATGTCAATCATTCTATGGCCCTGGATGACTCACCTGGTGCCGTTCTCTGAGTTTTGAGCCATTTCCTTTCTTTAACTGGCAGACTGCTAGAAGCTGTATAACATCCAGCTAAAGACTAGCAGCGGGGTATTCCTTCTGCCCCCTTCTGACGTCTATGTCAGAAGCTTTCTCTATCTCTTTTATACTTTAATAAAACTTTACTACACAAAATCTCTGAGAGATCAAGCCTCGTCTCTGGCCCCAGATTGAATTCTTCTCCTCCAGAGGCCAAGAATCCCAGCGTCTTTTGTGGTTCAGCAACAACCTTTCACCAGGAGCCAGGAAGTACAGCTAGGCTCAGCTATCACCGGCAATCCTGCCAGCCCTGCCGCACTTCCTCACTCTGCTGGACTGTATCAGTCAATGATTTAACAAAAATGAGGCTAGTTAAGCCATGGACTGCTCCAGTGGTCATGGTGCCATACACACCCTCAACTCGAGTCTGGCTTTCCTCAGCACAGTGAGTCCAAGTAGGATCCAGATATTTGGAACAAGCACACTTGTGAGAATGACTTCAGCTTTCACTCCCATGCTCACCCACTCTCCAGAACCCAGTCTTCCCACTGACCACCAGCATCTGGGGGATCCAGCCTCCCTTACAGGAACAAACCAAGGCTGCATGATCTTCTCTGATACAGAAGCCAGAGGAAAGGGGATCAGACCACTGGAGGGGCTGCCAATATTCCCAGCTTCCTGGCAGGAAAACACTTGCATGGCAAACCTCCTTTTTAAAGAAATGCTTTATTGCTGCAATTAGACACTCCGTGTATAGTACAAACACCCCCCCACCCATACAGAGAATTATTTAAGCAGTAATACTGAGAAACAGTGAACATACACAAAATGATACAAAACTAGACATTTAGATAACTAGAAAGTTTCTAAGTTGAGAAAAACTTCAAGTATGAAGTGCCTGTTAGAAACTACACCACACATGCCAGTGTAAATTTGGTCTTTATTAACAATCAACATCCTATAAACATTGCATCTAAATAGGTGGTGAGTTGCACAATTTCATTACTGTCAAAACAAAGACAAATGCTTTTGTTTCCCTATGTTTCAGTCTTTCCTTGGGCTAGAGATAGAAGCTGCAAACTTCAAATCAGATCCAAGAGGGAAAGTATCTCAAAAGTGGTTTGCGTCAGGCCAAATCCACACCATCGTGGATCTTTATCCTGTGTGCCCTATCCTCCTCTGGCTCCAGGGCCGACCACCAGTCAGGGGGGCAGCTCTACACAAGGCTTTTGAAAACCCCCAACTGCCCGGGGCCTGTCTGTCTGTCTGTAGCCAGGTTAGGGGACACCTGCAGGATTTGAAACTGGACCCGTAAGGTTGAGAAGAGTGGACCGAAGCAAAAAAAAAAAAGCAAGAGACAGTACAGGTCTGGAGGATGAAGAGATCTTTTATAATTTTCAGTAAAATTTTAAACTCAGGCACAAAAGTGCTTCAGTGGAACTACAGGTTGAGGGGAAGCAGAGGCCGAGTCAGAGATGGTTGGCTGGCGACACCCCAGGCTGCTTCCCTCTCCCCTTCGCCTGGCCTTCAGATACCAGCCCTCCAGGCCCTGAGACCTGCAAGCTCACCCCACATTTCTGTAATTTGTTCAGTCAGGTGCAAAACGATGAGGAAATGGGGAATAATTAACTCTTCCAGGAACCTAGAAGGCCAGCTGACAGACTAAAGGAATGCCTGGCAGATCCAAAGCCCCCACTCAGCGGAAGCACAGCGCCACTTCACCAGGGCCTCGCAAGTTCACTCAGTCCCTGCGGCTGGGGGGCAGGGGGTTAGTGCTGGGACTAAGTTGGGGGTCAGAGATGGTGAGCAGAACCGGCGAGGACAGAAGGCAATGGGGTAGCTGTGTGTGTGCCATCCCAGGAAAGAAAAGGAGGACACGGGGCGGACCATCCACAGGCAGAGGCTTTTAGGAGCTTGGCTGGAGGTGATGAGATGGTGTGAGAGAGCTTCCCGTGAGAGCCTGGGTGGGCCATGGGAGCAACACAACAGGGCTGATTATGAAGTCACCTCTGCCACAGGTGGGGCACCAGCCACACTGGCTGGGCTGTCCCGGGGACATCCCCACCTGAGCACACTCTCCTCTCTATCAGAAGTTTCAGTGCTTTTCAGGGACAGCACAAGGAGCGCCACTGGGGAGAAGGGGAATGGTGCCCACTTAGAAATCTCTCTCAGTATCCCCTGACGACTCACCTGCCGTCAAGGGGGACAAGGGGCCTTGCCCTGGCAGTTCCTAAAGGGCACCGGCAAGGCAGACCTGGGATGTGGCTCTCCTGAGCGGACCGTCTGTAGCTATTTGGTGTCCCCAGGCTGGGAAGGGGCGTAGGTAATTGCACTTTGGGGCACAGTGAGCTCAGGCACGCGCTGGATGTGGCCTGGGAGATGGAGAGGACGAGCTGACCTATTTCCAGGGGGTGGGCTATGGCTGGATAGCACCTGCCAGGCCAGAGAAGCCATGGCAGGGCAAAGCCCTCCCCCAAGGGCTTAAGAACCTCCTGGCTTTCAAAACAAACCATAGAGCTTCCACACTGAAATGCAAAGGAATCATCTTCTGTTTGCTTCCTACTCTAACAGGTTGGATGAAACACCTGAGGCTCAGAGGATGGAGGGCAGGACCCCAGGGCCACCCACCCAAGACATCCAGAGAGCTACCTGGAGAGTAAGTGCCTAGGCACACTCATCTCACACTGCAGAACTCCCTGGGCTATTTTTCTGGAGTTGACTCTCTTTTGCCTGGTATGATGAAACTGGTCTTTAAAAATAGAATTTAAGCAGACCTTTTTAAAGGTACAAAGGCCATTTGATGGTAGTGATTTTGGTTTTATGAAAAAGTGGTACAGGAGATAATCCCTGATGACAGAATGGACTGAAAGCAGGGCCAGGGGTTCAGTCCAGTTAAGGCGACAAATGGGCAGGGGTGTGGCTGGGAGCAGGGACAAGGTGGACCGTGGCAGTCTGCTGCTCACTCCTGGCCCTCAGCCCAGAGACAGCCCATCTGCCTCTCTGCTCTGGGCAGCGACCCACAGAAGGTGCCAGGAGCAGGGGCCCCTGAGAGCACCTTCAGCGTGTGCCCCAGCTGGGCGATACACGCCTACTCCTTCAGTGTGAAGTCAGCACAAACTGGAGAGGTCTGTCTGTAAAGGAATAGTTTTTAAATATTCCATTTTGTTCTGATGCCTCACTTCCTTTCATTTGGATCTCATGAACCCTTCTTCTTCAGGACTGACAAAAAAAGAAACGTTTAGGGCAGCCCGATGACATGAAGACTTGTCATAAAACAGGCTCAAAACCACAGGAATTATGCTCGAACTGCCACTTACCATCCATTCATCCCCACAAAATGTTATGAAAAATGCCTCCAACCTGTTTGTTCTGCTTTACAAGTCCCTTTTATGGACACAGAGTGGAAGTCACATTTCTTAGCATATATAAGGCAAAAAGGGTTTCAGATCTATTATAATGTGAAGGAGATAATCAGGGTCATGAAAGGAAGGTTTCTAAATGAGACGTTCTTTCAAATGTCAACCCCACGTGACACACGTATTACAAAATAAAGATTCTCTTTTTGTAAAGTGCTTTGCTTTGCTTAGTGAATCACTCACCACCACGCACAGAGCACCACGGCCCGTCTGCTCGGGAACTGTCAGTGGCAGCCTCCCTGGACCCTGACTAGTGGTGGAGAAGCCTCTCCCCAAGGCTGGTCCCTCCCAGCAGTTCACCGAGCGGGCAGGAGGCGGGGACCTGCCCACCAGAAGAGGCGCGGCAGGGCCCAGGCACCACCTGCTCCTCTTCTTCCCTCAGGTTTGGCATCTTGCTCTCTCATTCTGCGCAAGACTACGAGCCAGAACCCAGCCAGCACCCCATCGTGGTGTCACAGGCTCGTCCACCCTCCCTTCCTGTAGACTCGCTGGCAGAAGCAGAACCCAGCCGGGCACAGCTGACGTGAGGGTTTTCCAGGAGAGTCACTAAGGAGGGTTTAGAAAAAAGAGAAGCCATTAAAAAGAGTCACCTGCCCAGTCTATGCTATTCACGGACATAAGAAAATGTATACAATTGGCAGTAAACAATTTCCTTCGGCTGTTCTCAGTGGTCCAAGAGAACACAACCTCCGCGCCATCAGACGTGAATGATCTCCGCTCCAGTGTCTTCAGGTTCTGTGCAACAAGAAGAGTTTGTATCGGAATGACAGACTCCACGTCCATCTTTATTTTCAAAGCTGGGCTCTGTTAGTGCAGATTTTTCAAAAATATTCCTTTTGCTTGTTTCTGGACAGTTTTGGACATAGATTACTCTGTTATAAGCCTTGAGTCTCCTCCATAACTGTACATACACTTTGCACTGAACGTACATGAAAAGAAGTCCACCAGTAAAGCCAATGGCCACAACCACCAACTTAGTCCAAAAGGGCCACTCTAGGATTCCTGGAAGGGAAAAAACCCAGTTAGCCTATCAGTAGACCTTATTCAAGACGTGAAGTAAATAAAACACAGTTTCTGAACCTGTCACAGCCGCAGATTCTTAACTCTTCAAATCCAGTTTTGTTGGAGGAGGCATGGAAGAGCTCGTCCATGCCCTTTCATCCTGTGCTTCCAAGGGGCATTCGTGAAAATTCTCTCTCTCCATGATTTGATCTCTCCTGACTGGGTTTTTTTTCTTTTTTTTAAGTTGTTTTTTTTTTTTTAAATATGAACCACTTTTAAAGTCTTTTTATTGAATTTGTTACACTACTGTTTCTATTATATTCTTTATATTTTGCTATATATTCTTTATATTTTGCTTCCTGGCTGCAAGGCATGTGGGATTGATCTTAGCTCCCTGACCAGGGATCGAACCTGTGCCCCCACATTGGAAGGCAAAGTCTTAACCACTGGATTGCCAGGGAAATCCCCAGACTGGGTTATATAAACTACCACCACAGCACAAGAAGCATCCAAAAAGGATGTATGGTGCATCATAACTGATATCTCCCTCCAGAAGCCCAGACATTGGACGTCAGACTTAGAAATCAACCTGGAGTAATACCCCAATCTTAAGACCCACTGTGCCATTCAGGATACCCTGGCTGGGCACACCTTTCATTCTGACCACGTACCTGTTGCCTGACCCTGCCTGATCTCCTCGGCGGTGCGGTCGATGAGCACATACAAGGACCAGACCACACAGGTGATGGCGATGACGTGGAAGGTCACGGAGCACATGATCTTCCTGCGCTCGCTGGACGTCATCTGCAGCTTCTCCCACTGGAAAGACAGTACACAGATGTGAGGCTCAGGCTCCCAGGCCTCAGGGGCTACGACGGGGTGAGAGCTTTGCTGATGGCAAGCCCGGCTTCCCTCCCCGCTACCCCTCGCCCAAGCTAGATGAATTTCCCCAGACACTGAGTCGTTCCCTTTAAACCACGTGGCTTCAACCAGGTACCAGGCTCTGGTATTCTGTCGACAGCCAACTTTCTATGCAATGAAGAGAAGCCAGGATCGAGATGAGCTATGAATCACCACCAGCAATCCAATCCCCCTGGCTGCTTATTCCTGCAAGCAGGCATTCACTGGCTTGATAAAAAGATTTTATGGTTTTGGTCCAGATGAAAATAGCATGTTGGGCCAAGACCCAGGTGGCACGTTTTTGTTTCCCTGACTTGCTGACTGGCGTGAGTGAGGGGAAGAAGGGGGGCGGATGACACCACAACACACTAGCAGATGGGTGGCCCTATGGCGTGAAGGTGATGGCGGGAGGCGCTCACTCTTTGGTCCTCTGCTACTTTGGCAGCAACACCGTGAAATCGATGCTAAGAGTTCCTGGTACAAGCAGTCTGTCCCAGTCCCATCTCCTCTAGGAGCTCATTAATTTACTCCAAATAGCCAGATTTTCTTTTTCATTTACCGGTTTCCGAATCAGAAGAAAACACATAAAGGTAGAGAAAAAGAACAAGTGTGAACACTGCATATCCTCTGCCAGCCCTAGCTAGTCACAGCCTTTCCAGATGATTCTATGTAGGATAAGCTGAAAGTAGAGCCTCGTGGACTACCTCTATTGGTCACAGTGCCATAAGCCTCGCTTGAGGGATCAGTATAGAGTAAGGTACCTGATAAATGATAAGGCTCTTATGGGGAAAAGCATTTTTTTTTTAAGTAGCTTGGGCCTGCCTTCTCTAACATCTAGACTGCTTTCTTCTGTGGTGTGATACTGTATCTTCACCTGGTTTCCCTCCTAAAACACTCCCCTGAGTTTCTAAGATACATTCAGTTTCAGCCTTTCATCCTCCTCTGAAAGGCTCACCTACCTTTAGGTGGATGCTTTCCTCTGGAGACAATGCAACCTTTCTAGACTCCTTTCACTTTCCCTCTAAATCCTAGTGATCTTTCAAGAACTGCTTCAACACCAAACATTCTATGATGCCACCCCACTCTGCTTCCCCAGCACTTCAATCCACAATGAATACTTCCTTCTCTGAATATCTGATATGTGCTGTCCCCATGGAAGTTAGCGTTTTACTGGCACATCAAGTGTTATTACTTGATTATGTGATTCTCCCTGCAATTTATGTACTAAAGTTGAGATAAGAACAAGTCTTTTATTCTTCCAAACAAAACCTCTCCATATGCTAGGTACAAAGACACATAAAACAGCCAGTGTTTACACAGGAGGGGAGTGCCGGATGAGGCTCCTCTCAGAAAAAGTAAGGATACAAGACCTGACGAGAGTTGTGTTTCATGTAATGCCTGTGGTTCCTGTCTTTTCCCATCTGCCCCCACCTCCTATCTAGCAAATATTCGTCACAAGTGTATAAAAATAAATTTACTACATTAGGCTGTGTTTCGTGCAGGGGAGGCACTAATCTCCACAATGTGGTCCTAATTAGAGGCAAGGCCTGAATAGTTAATACATATAAAGTCTAATGCTGACTAAGACATCACAAAGCGGTGTGTGGTCAAGGGCCAAATGACTGAAACAGACAAGCAAGCAGTCTTAGTTTCTAGGAAAAAGAAAACATGGTCACTGAACGGTCAGAAAGAGCTTGTTCTTGAGAGAAGGGACTTGGAAATCGGTACCAGTAACATGAATGTACACACTGGCCTCCACTTCCGAAAGAAGTGAACACAAGTCAACTGTGGCCCACCCAATCCCTAGTGCGGCCCTGCACGTACTTTTCTCAGCGGCTTCAGCTTGGTCTCCATGATGAATTCGTACTTGCACAGCTCACAGCATCGCGTGTCAGAGCTCTTGATCCACTGCTGCAGGCAGGTCTGGTGCACGAAGTGGAGGCTCCCTGTGCAGTGGCAGGGCGTGATCAGAGGGCTCTCGTCATCCCCTTCACAGTGACAGATCCTGCAGCAGAAGGAAAGTCGGTCCTTAGAAGGAGGGCCACACGACAGGGAAGACGACGCTTCAGTGGAAGGTCAGTCCGCCCAAGGAAAATGTTCAGAAACAAACATCACAAAAATGACTATAAGCACAAAAACATACAAACACAAAAGAAAACAGCTACTACAAACTAAAACTTTCTAGCTTACCGCACCAACACGGAAACTCTGGATGGCATTTGGCATCAGAGAGGAAAAAATGATATAAGAAATGACAAAGCAGTCATTTTGGGTAAGACTTTAGAACTTCACTAAAAGGTGATTTTAAGGCAACGTGGAAGCATCTTCCAGAACTTATGACGTTAAAATAATCAGAGGTAAAATTCCTGTGTGAAACAAAACCAGCACTCTACCTTCCAAAAATACCAGGAACTTGGAAGGATGATGAACACTGCTTGTTAGCTATAATCACTGACTTCACCTTCACACACCACACTACATATTCCCGTCCTCTATCAGCAAGTAAACAGAGAAACCACAGAGCTTCTGCTGGACCTGAAAAACCATTATAAGATACTGCCATTTCATTTCTTTTTCAGGACCACTCAGCAATGAGTGAGAAATTTAAATCGTTATTTCTAAGGGTGCATGCAACAGGATGTAGGCACTAACCTCAAGAAACTTAACAGACTTTTGAGAAACAGAAGGGCCTTTTCCAGCAGCTGGAGAGCAGGTAGGGATACCTGGCCTAAAAAGAGCTGGGCTCTGGCCCAGGCCAGGCTCTCAGCTGTTTGTGCTTATGAAGGGGGCATCTGATCCAGCTGTTGAAAGAAATGATAATAGCTGATCCTGAGGAGGGTACGCTGTGGAAAGGTTAGAATGGGGAACAAGGCTAACAGTGGTGACAAAAGGAAATTCTGAAAGCTTTTGGAGGCCTGACAAGGATGCTACACCCAGGAAGATAAAGTTGGGAAGTGGGTGAGGATCTGGGCAGAGGTGGCTGCATCCAAGTTAAAGAGAAGGAAGAAAGCAGCTGCTGGAGAACAGCCTTTCCCCCACACACGGTGCTGCAGATGGAGGAGGGGGTCAAAACGAGGCCTGGAGGGGAAGCCAACGCTTAACATCTAGACCATCAAGCTGGAAGACTGGAGGTACTATTCCTTCTTCCAATTTCTTTATGCAAAGGCTACTTATTTTTGGTTGAGCAGAGTCAGCTTGGCCTTTAATATGTGTAGCTTCTTCATCTTTTACCATCTATGAGACTATCTTGGGGACCCATGTCATAGCATTGGATTTTCAAATGATATCAATAATTTATTCTTCTGGAGAAAAACTATTAATCTGTAATTGTGTACAACTGCCTACACATTCTCCGGAAACTTCACATATTAAAGCAAGATGAGGCCGTGGAGCTATGGGGAGCAGAGGTGGCCAGGATGGTGGTTCTCGGCAAACCAACCTGCAGGCATCCCCTGATGTGGACACAGGAGAGATGCGGGGGCCCTTTTCAGAGGTGGGGGAAGGACAATCCAGGTCACTGTCCTTCTCCACGGAGCAGAGGGGCGCCCGCAGCACCCTGCTCTTCAGTTTCGCAGATGTGCTCTCCTCAAAGACGTCGTCGTCCCCCATCTCATCGGAGTCGAAGCCGGCACTCCCGGCCAGCCTGCTGGAGGACTTGGCGGGCTGCGGGCTGGTGGCACGGCTCTCCAGCTCGTGGAAACGGTGCAGGCTGCTGGTGCTCGAGCCGTGTGAGAGTGACAGCAGGTACCGCAGCAGCCTCCGGCTTCGGGACAGGGCCTCGCCATCCGCCTTCTCGTCCAGAAGCAGGACATGCATGCCCCCCTTGCTGGCTCCTGCTTCTGAGGCTGCTGAACGATTGGCAGAAAGGGATGAGACACAAGAATGCTTGGAACTGCCCAGGGCTTTGCGATTCAGTATTCTTCTTTCTCTCTGGTGGAACCTGTTGGTTCTGAGACATGGGTCCTGAGGAAGTACCAGTTTCCCTTCAGAGCAGGTTCTCTCCACGTAGTCAAAACTTTCCAAGGCATCCCGGGCGTTCTCACCCACATCGTTTAGGGATTTTGAGAACTTTAGTGTTCTTCTGGCTTTGGTATTCTTAGTAGGCTTCAAGGCCTGGACCCACTCTGAACCACAGGAATTTCTCTTTGAGGCCTGCGCTGTGTCTTGACAGACAATTGTCACAGTGAGCCCTTGGGTCAGAGAACTCTGGCAGGGAGGAGCTTTCAAGACAACAGCAGATGGCACGGGACTGTGGTGACAACACTCAGAAAACACTGCACTGGAACTGCATGCAGAGAACAGTGGAATAAAAGCACAGAAAGTAAAAACAATATTAAAAGAGAATAGACATCAAAGTGAAGAAATGAGACTCGCATGGTAACCTGGTGAGCACACAGCACATAAAACCAGGCTGACTGTTCAGAGCAGAGGCATACGGAGAATCAAGAATCTGCAGACATTAACGCGTATTCCCAGGACGCACACGAGCCACGGCAGCGTGCAGAGTGTTACCTGCAGATGTCCTGATTGGAGGGCGTGACGGAAGTGCGAGCGAAGGACACTGGAGCCGATGCCACCGAGGAGCCCCCAGCCTGCAACACATACCGCTGGTCAGTTTTTAGGGAGACCAGGGGACCACGAACACCTTCTCCTGAATGGCACTGGGTCTGCTGCTGCCCACTGCTCAGTGAGCAGTACTCGTGTTAGGTCCCTACGAGCCAAGCCAAGAACAGAACAAGCAGCATTCTTTTCTCAGATGACGGTAAAACTGTAGTCAAGAATATTTGAGACCGTGGAGCAGCAGCATCCACCTTGTATGGATTCAACAGTCATTCATCTTCTAAGCATCTAAACTTAAATTAGTTCATACATAAGCCAAGAAACCAAGCACCACAGGTACATGCAAATACAAAAGGAACTTAAGGTACCTTCCCTGCCAGCCTTACTTCCCCCAGCCAGCACTCTCTAACCCTGTATCTAGGGTCATCCTTGTGGAGGTTGGCAGGACACAAGAGCTCCTCCACCCTCACCACTTGGCAGTGGGTCCACGAACTCCCAAGCCCCTGCCAGCACTCCTTACGCAGAAGGGAGACTCCCTGAACATGCCAAACTTAGAGAAAAGCTCTGGGAGGGTGAGGAAATGCTATGGTGGAAAGAGAAGCAGAGGAGAGAAATAGGAACAGGGAGTACAGCTGAGCTGAGGTTGTACAACTACTGTTTAGGGCGTCCCCCAACCTCCACTCCAGCCTCTGCAGGGCACTTGCGAGGCCTCATCAAGACTGACTCCTGAGCTTCCTCGGCCCTCACAGCAGCAAGTGTGTTCTTCCCTCCTTAGGAAAGTTGTTCTGAGGGAGCATCTGCTCTGTGCAACCTCAGGGGCCACGTGGAAATAGTACTGAGTCTGTTATCAAGGGCAAGCCAGCATCTCCTCCCCACCCTCCCCAGGCCCACTCAAAAGGCCCTCAGCCCTGTCCCTTGATTCGGGAAAGCCCCACTCTGGCCACCATTCCCCAGCTGAGGCCAAGCCTCCACTCTTGCGAAGTGTCACCCCCGGGGCATACTCTCATCCTGGCACTGTAGCTAAGTAACCCCTGACTTCCATCACCAACTCCCCTGTCTAGCATGTGCATCAGCCTGGACAGAACCAGAGAGAACCGGCACTCTGCCTGAGGTTCACTGGACAGTGACTCCTGTTCCTCAACACAGAGCTGAAACATCATCGTAGACCCAAGTCAACCTAATGAAACTTGATCCATGAAGTTATACGTTATCATGCCACGTGTATATGCTAAAATTATGTAGTATTACTCAACAAGCACATCTTCAGAGTCACCAAAGAATCCACATTTATTTTCTAAAGGCATTTTTGGTCAAAGTTCTTAAGAATCTAAAGTTTATCTGGAGCCAGAAAAATGACATTCCCCCAAATAATCTTGCACTACTTGGTTACGATTCTTTCTAAAACAAAAGGGGGGGGTGGTCCTCAACACTTTGCTACCACATTCCCATTGCATGAGCTACCCACTCCCCACAACCCTTTCTCCTGCGCCCTCCTCCCAGACAGCTATCATGGGCCCCTCTATTCTCCCGAAATGGGAACAGGGAGCCTTTACTGTTATATCGCAGGAGGCGGGCTAAGGAGAGCCACACTAATGTCCCTAGCTCCTACTATCGGCCTGGTCTCTAATATTCAGTCCCAACCCTACTCTGAGATGGACAGCCTCCTTGAACTTCTCGCTCCCTTCTTTAACCTGTGAGGGTGACCAGTTTTGTTCAGTATCTGTAGGCGGGGCCAAAGGCCAGTCATGGTGTAGAGAAGGAGCCTCCCCAAGCAGACCTGGGAAGAAGGAAGGACAGGAAAGTAGGTGCGCATCCTTGTGCCTTCAGTTCTCATTCCTCGAGGCTGCTGGGTCAAGCTGAGTCACTGGGACTGAGGCAGAGAAGGAAGTGCCCTCCCCACGTGAGGAATGGCCAAGTACATGCTCATCCAGACACAAGGCAACATCTTGTTATCTCCTTCCCTGTTACATTCTGAGGACAGGAGCCTCAGGAAACACACATACTGTCTATATTCTGAAGAGAAGGCAAACCCTGTGAAAGGAGAGTCAGGTCTCATTTGCGGAATGAGATGCTCCCAGGGTCAGTGTCCTTGACAGGAGGCAGGAATCAGATGGGAAGCTGAAATCAAGACAAAATGTTCTCTTACTCCTGTTCTGAACCTCAAGTAATTCACATGAAAAAGGGACATCCAGGGTAACAATTCACATTATCCCAGGCCCTGAAGGGGGCAAGGCTTAGCAGTAGGAGGGAAGAGCCTCAGAGCGGAACAAAAACCTGCACTGAGGCGGCAGCCAGACTAGCCACACACTTGACATCCGTCATCCTCTCCCTGTGAGTCTCCTATCTCAGGTGCGCCACGGGGACTCCCACACAGTCGCGTCTGCGTTTGCAGTGGCCCCGAGACCCGGCTCTGCTTGTTCAGCAAACAGGAACAACTCCAGCCGCCTCGATCTATGCTCCTACCCTCACTCCATCCTCTCTGATCCCACAAAGGACATCACGAAACATTCTCAGCAGGTAACATCCAAGCCTCAACAAGCCTCGCAATAGCAGAGGTAAACTCTCCCTTCTTATTACATCAGGAGGTTATGGGAAAACTGCTGATTTACATACATACAAACCAACAAATGCCTTACCCTCTCAAGAGCAAGAAAATGAGCAAGACTCACGGGGCCATCACAGCCCCTGGAGAGGTTCCTTCCATTATCAGCTAGAGAAGAGCACGTAATGAAGGTCAGGACCAGGCCTCATGCAGAATGATCCCTGAGCACAGCGACAGCATCTTTCAAGAGCTCAACTTGTTGCTGGTATCAGGCTGAGTAAAATCTATCAATCTACCCACAAGGACTTAATGGCAACAATGAAATGAGGAAGACAGCTTCAAACACAGTTCCAGGGTCTAACCAGAGGAGTCTAGGTAAGTCAAGAGGCTGCAGTCCCCTCTCAGAGGCTCAGCCAATAGCTCTCTAGCTCCTCTGGACAGCAACAGCGAGTGGGGTGATGTGTGGGAGGTTGTGGGGCAGTGCTGGCTTAAGGGAGAAGGAGACTCTGTGCCCACACAACACGGGGGAACATACTTTCCCCTCCTCGAGGGAGGATCAGGCCACACACGACTCTGCAGTTACTGACAAAAGGTGTGAATGTTCATGATGAGAAAATTCAAATGTGTTGAGAAAACTGAAGCCCTCTGTTCCTGAAGTTCTTTGTTGGTTCTCAAACAAGAGACATTCCAGTCATGAAGAAGAATGTAAAGCAATCTCACTGCAAAAAAATTTTCATAAAAATCCCCTTTTATTTTAAGATGTTGTAATCAATTATGCCCAAATAAACCTCTGGATTCTGTCTAGGCCTAAATCCCAGTTGCTCTTATTTCTTAGGAATGACAAGTTTGTTTTGCTGTCCTCAAGTCACTTAATGGTGGCTTTTCTATCAATGCATTGTTCTAAATGATTTTATCAAGGCTGCCAAACACTTATAGCAAACAGAAAACTTATCACATATCCCTGGTAGAAGTTGGCATGCCCCCCCATCTCTGTTTCCCTTTAAGAGAACAAACAACCACTGGCAGGCCTGTCATAACAGACTCAACACGTAGTGTTCTCAGTCCCTGGAAGGAACTTAGCAATTTGACAGTGGAGAGGACTTCCTCCCTGCGGGACACCAGCTGTACCTTCCCTCACCCTAACCTTCCCCACCTGCTTTTTGCTTCACTTCCTTCCCTTGCTCCTTTTACTACATTACATTCCAACCTCCCTCTCGGCCACTTCCTCCTTCTTCTCTATTGCAAAACTCCACTGGGCCCTTTTTCATTTACCAGCAAAGCTATTTTTAAAACATTTTGTGCTCTATTAAAAGTAAATCTGTCCACCTGATTTTCATCAACAGGTGTAGGACCACAGGAAATGGTCTGGTTGGGCCTACTTTTTAAGCCAGGAGGAACATGAGAAAGGACTAGAGAAGGAGGGCAAGATACAGAGGGCTTGTGTTTACAACAGATCTCAAATTATAACATATCAAGCAATGACTTAATCAAAAAAATGGGAAAGGAAATACAGACGGCTCTTACAACGTAAGAAGATGCTTAGCCTTTCTCACAATGAGAAATACAAATTAAAGCTCAAATGAGAAATGCCTTCATCATTAACAAGAGTTTTTAAAAATATCAAATACCCACATTGGCAAAAGTATGAGGTAACAATCACTCTCACACATTGCTGGTGTGAAAGCAACCTGGTAATCCTCCCACCTAAGATGGCAATTTGGCAATTTCGCTCGGAATTACAAATGCATGTGTACTTTGTCCCAGCAACTCTTCTCTTAAGAATTCATCTTTATACATATGCACAAAAAGGTTTGTACAAAACTGCCTGGGAGCAAAGGGCTGGCATAACCTCACTGCCCGTGGGCTTGGACCTGAATGTCAGTACTAGTGTAGCAAGTCATTGCACTACTATATTTCTACCAAAAAACCAAAACCCCAAAACATCAAAATCAATGTTGTAACAGCCATGTATATTTCCTCCTTTAGAAGAATATGGCTAAATTAAGAAAACATGTTACACTGTCGGCATAGAAATTTTGGAAGTGAAAAGCTCTGACAGCTACCAAGAAAGAGGTTTTTTCTCTACAAAGATGTCATTTGCCACCTGTAACAGATTGCTATTATCCAGTTAACAAATTACCACAAACTTAGTGGCTCAATACCACAGATATGTCATCTGACCCACAACGCAATGGGACCCTCTGCTCAGGGCCTCCCTTCTTTGCGGAGGCTCTGGGGAAGAAAGCACTCCCGTGTTCATTTAGGCTGCTGGCAGAAGGCAGTTCCCAGCAGCTTTAGGACTGAGGACCAATTTACTTCCTGGATGTCAGCCAGGGGCTGCCTGCATTCCCCATCCATCCTTCCCCATGTTCAAGCCCACTCTTGCTTCCAGTCTCTGCCCCCAGGCAGGGAAAGCTCTCTGCCTTTAAGAGCTCACATGATTCCTTTTGTACAATGATCTTGTCAGCAATCTCTCTCATCACAGTGACA